CCCCCCCCCCCCCCCCCCCTTCGTCATCCGGTCCTCCGACTTCAGGGTCTTGAGCAAAATTTACGTAGTATTGCCAATTCTGACCGCTCGTTAGCAGGATCTGATAAACCGCTCAACGACGCTAAGTATTCCCACTCGAGCCACTATACTAGGACTTGGCAGAAAGCCCTTGCAACATGCATCGGCTGTGTCCTAACGGAGAAATTATGGTCTGATGGAACGTCAATCACCAGGGGAATTTTGGAACAAAGTGTCCGAGGGTTGTATGATTAGTTCAGGGTAGAACTTATCGAATTATTTGGCTCCTATCCTACCACTCTCCACTAGGCATGTAGAAGCTGGGCAGTGAAGGATATGAGACAAGACACAAGACCACTGTGTGCTCTCTCAAAGTCCATATTCTTAATTTTTGTATGGCTTGATCTATTGGGTATAGCTCAAGGCGGTGGTGTTTTACATAGCATTAACACAAACTTGAACTTTATGACATATGAACAAGAATAATGAAAGTGGCCAGCTTCAAATCACCCATGAGATATTCACCGCTTACTATTGAACTCCATACTACAAAGCAGACATCTAAAACATGAGTTTTGAAACATGGAACTCTTGTTGAACTCTCAGCAGTGACATGTTGATACCCTGAAGGACGCTTCATGCATGATCTTCATTATCCCTGTCGACTCTGCTACCGACACACAGGTACTGAACTCACATGACAAACGGTGTCGCAGATCCCATTCCTGCGGCTATGCCGATCTGATAATTCTTTATCAATCAGTACTTGCCCGAAAGATTAGGCGATCGCCCCCGGCCATCAGGTGCCATGTCCTATATAGACGACAGTCTGGTCTCCTTGATTATAGAAGTACACACCGTTCTTCATCCATTGGAACTGACTACGTATATCTTCTTTCTTTTCTCACGCTCTTGCTCCGCCTTCTAGCTGCCGGATTTATGAGTATTACTGAGAAACTAAGCGTGGCAAAAGCACGAGGATGGGCAGCTGAAGAAGTATTAGAAAGGGCACTAGGACCTCGAGACTCTCTGGTAGAATGGAACATTTGGAGAGACTTGGAATGTACAACATAACAGGAAGCTACTGCATATATTCTGATGACGGTTCAATGACGGACCGAAATCCAGAATATGGTTCCAAAGTACAACCTGCACATTGTTAGAGCGAGATATACTCGAACAGGTGTCAACAATCATGATCAAAAGTAATATTCAAGATAATGCACAATCACAACCTATCTTCCCAGATTGTCTATGTGGTTCCAACGCCAAACCCCGTAATTATCTACCCTTAAGCCTTAGCCTCATCAGTCTTGCGGCCGCCAAGCTGCATATAGTTCCAGCAAACTATAATCATGTCAGTAACGGTTTCCCCCAGAACAGTCCAGATATTACTTACTTGTCCATCCTAGATCATCTCGGAAGCAAGACTGGAGAACATCCTCACCAGCTACGGTACCGGAATCAGGACTAGAGGCAACAGCCTTCTTGCCGACAGCCAGACCGATAACAGGAGGGTATACTGCAATTTCCTTATATGAGGGAACGTGACCAGCTCGGTGGCTGAGGATACTCTGGTGAATGTTTTGTGCTACGTAATGGCCGTGGTGCATAGCTCCGCCACATCGCTTAATGCCAGGCCACTTGGTGATGTCACCAGCCGCATAGTGGAACTCAGCATTTGGTGTACCTTCCTCTAATTGTAGACTAGAAACATGTCAATGATTGAAGAGGGTAAATTGAAACTGTTTGACTTACCTGGGCTTGATCTTGACATACCCATCCTCGTCAAGCGCTGATGTAGGAAGATATGTAGATGTGGGAACGCTTCTAGAGATGGCCATGATGACCACGCTGGCAGCCATCTTGTGGCCGTTGGTGAACTCAACATCATACTTTTCGCTGCCATCGGCCGTCTCTACCTTGTTCTTAGAAGCCAGGCGGTGGTTCATAAGAACTTCAACACCACTCTCACGGAGCAGCTTAAGAGCAACGTCCTTGGTCTCGTCAGGAAGACCCTCGGATGAGAGAAGCTTATCACGAGAGTGAACAAGAGTAACGTTGAGATGAGGCTTGACCATCTTGAGTTCAGCGGCCATCTCAATGCCGACAGCGCCTCCACCGACCACAACGACACCGTGCTTCGCATTGTCAACTGCGTTTATGTGGTTTTCGGCTTCGAGTAGATATTGTTTTCGGGTAAGAGACTGTGGCACAACAGGCCAGACACGGCGCAGACCAGTGGCGGCCACAAGGTAGTCGTACTCTAAAGTGCTTTTCTCTTGAGTAAGATGCGCTGATACAGTAGCTCTCTTGGTAGCAGGGTCAACACTAGTGACTGAGCCTTGGATAATGTTTATGCTCGGGTCCTTGAGACCTGGGATGTCAGAGTACTTGACCCAGTTCTTCTTAGAGTAGGCAGAGTCGGCAAGGGCCATGGGAGAACCGATCAGGTGGTCTGCAATTTGTCAGTGTCTGGGGGTATCTGTAGGATGAAGATCCAAGCAGAAGGGACTTACAGTATCCATCTCGTTCATCAACAATGGTAATCTCGATGTTGAAGGTAGGCAGGTTGGGGTGGTGAGTGTAAGGCTCAGAGTTCATGCGGGGAGAGTAACCCTGACTCAGATCCAACAGGTTGACGGCGGCAGATAGACCACCATAGCAACCTCCAAGAATAAGGACACGCACAGCGTTGGATGTCTCAGGAAGTGATCCCATTGTAGCAAAAGTTTTGACTGAATAGACTCTGAAGTGATTTCGATGTATAGGTCGGGAACAAGATGATGTGAAAACAGACACTGCGTGGATCTGATGCTTGGACGTGATAACAGTTGGGGAGGAGGTTTGGGATATAAATGGACGTCTTGTCTGAGTGCAAGCAGCGTGGGAGGCTTTAGAAAGTCGTCCCGGGAATTTGGCAGATACTCGAGAAACGATCATGAGCTGAGGGACGGAGTAACTGGAGAGATGAAGATTGGGCAAGAAGAAAGAAATAGTTGGAGCTGTTATAGAGAGAGAAAACGAGGTGGGAGGGATGCTCGGTATCGTACTCGGGTGAGAGTTCTCAAAACCGATCGGACCAAGACCGGCCCCTTGGTCGAACAAGGGATCATGTCCTGGATTTCCGTCATGACAGATCCCAGTTCACCATCATGAGTGAAGGAATGAATCAGACATAGCCAGTAATATGAGAGATTCGGCCGGCCAGTAGCGGGGCATGCTCCATTGCCATGATGGATGTTGGGGGAGACTCTTACTGTAGAAGATGCTAGAGATGTGGAGTTAAAGTTATCAGATCCGTCCAAGACAGGTACAGCCAGCCACTGAGAGATGAGGACAAGAATTATCAGATCCGACGGAAGAGACACATCCGCTTAGTCATGAAGCATACCGTCATCTGATCGGTTCCTCGTAATGTTTCCACTTTGTGTGCGACGATCTTAGAACTAACGACTTGTAGCGCAGTCCTTAAAATCAGCACGGAGAGAGAAGTTAGGCCGATCTCCTTCTACTATTTGAGAAATGACAAGGGTATGTCAAGGGCAACGAGTACAGCATCTTTGACAGTTGAATTGAGCTACGTGATTTCAACTTCTCAGTAACGGCAATAGTATTGATTATATGGTTAGAGATATTGTGTCAGAAATATTGACGACAAAGCATCCCTTGTTAAACATTATAGTCATGGCTCAATGAAACAGTTTCTACGGATATACTAGCCGAGTTCTACATTCCGAAGCGCGGAATCAGACCTAGGCCGATCTGATAACTCTGCTCAGGCTGCCACAAATCAGGACTGAGGGTTGCCAGTTGAGCCAGTTAGTCACTGAGAAAATTTATCTGATCCGAAGCACCCTTGACAGTTCGAATTGGTGTGTCCCACCCACCTGTGGACCAACTTCTTGGCTTGGTAAAATCACAGAGCAATTCTTATTAGGGAATAATCCATTTGTTCTTCCTACTGTTAAAAGACCTTGAGAATAGAAGTCAATGGTATCCAATGCATATTCAAGTCCCCTGATCTTGATCTGTATTCTGACGGTATATGACAACGTCTTTGAGATAGGCCATGAACTTGTCCTCATCCCATAGTTATCCAATTCTTTTTCAACATCTCATCTTCCACACTTTATTCTTTCCTTCAGTGGGGTTCAATCCTTCGCTCCTCTAGCACCGTGGCTTTATTCCCATTAGAGATGCCAAGCCAAGACCAGGGTAACCAACTGTAAAATTATGCTTGTTTAAACATGAATTAGAGTGAGAGGCTCTGCTCCGTCTCCGTCTCCGTTCCTCTCCGTCTCGGCCTTCTTAACTATTTCCTCACTAGTCATCGTCCAGGGCTGAAGCTCATGCCTATCAACAGACAGAGAGAAAGGTGCTTTTGGTTTGTCGCTTTAAATGCCAAGATGACCACACCCTTCAACGGCTGATCTCCATGGCCGATATTTTGTTCTCAAAATCTAGTGGAGGCGCAGTACCCTTTTCCATCATGAGTTCTCTCTTGTTTTTTCTTTCTTCATCTCTGTTCATGTGAGGTCGCGAGTCGTAGGCTTTCTGTCTTGCGACTTACACGTTCACAATGGCATCCCCTTCACCAGAGCGACAAGATAATGCCACGAGCAAAGAACCATCTGGTATTGATGGCCCTGGGCATCATGAAGAGGCAAAAGATAGCGCTGCTGCTACAGAGACGGTGGTCGGTGTGCTCAACAACTTAAATATTGAGCGTCAACTTAGCCACTCGCCACGACCGTCTACAAGATCATCATCAGTGTCTGCGACATCTCAAACACCGCCCGAAAAGAAGAAGAAGAAGAAGAAGGTAAGTTCTACTGACATAGTACACAAGCGTCACAACGACATGCAAATCTCACAGCTACTAACATTTCTTTGCAGACTCTACGTTCGTTCTTCACCTACTTCCAACTCCTCTTCTACGCCAACCCAACATGGATCGATGTACTTCTTCTCATTGTGGGAACTCTCACAGCATGCGCCGCCGGTGCCCCGTTTCCTCTAATGGGTATCATTTTTGGCCAACTGGTCAACGATCTCAATACTGCATCTTGCGACAATGGCGAGGTCGCATCACAAAACTCGCCTAAAGAGCTTCAAGACAGCATCAACAAAAAGGTTGTCATGATTACATGGATCGGAGTAATTAGCTTTGCTCTCATCTACACCTATATCGTGTCTTGGTCTATCTTTAGTCGTCGTCTTGAGAATCGCATTCGAGATCGCTACTTCATGAGCATCCTATTACAAGATGCGACCTTCTTCGACAAGAGACAAGCAGGAGAGATCACCTCCCGTCTCAATGCTGATATCCAGGCAATTCAGTCTGGTACCTCAGAGAAAGTGGGCATCATCATGGGTTGCACCTCGTTCTTCGTCTCATCGTACGTTGTCGCATTTGTCAAAAATACTACACTCGCTGGTATTCTCGTATCGCTTGTTCCTGCGTTCATGCTTCTCGCTATTGTAGGGAGTATGTTTACCGCAAAGTTTGCAACAGCCATGTCCGAGAAGATCGCTTCGGCCTCTTCAATCGCCTCAGAAGTCCTTGCCAATATTCCCGTTGTTCAGGCTTTTGGTGCAGGTCCTCGACTCGAGGCCATCTTTGCGGAGAGGATGAAGGGGGCACGAAAGCAAGGAATTAACAAAGCCTTTGTTGCTGCTATTCAAGCCGGGTTGCTCTACTTTATTGCCTACTCGGCAAACGCGCTTGCTTTCTGGCAGGGTAGCACACAGATTGCCGACATGGTTGAGGGTAACGGCGATGCCTCTGTTGGTGATATCTACACTGTTATTCTTTTGCTGGTTGACGGTATGTTATTCCTGATGTGCTTGTTTCGAGCCGGGTCCAATTACTGACTTGTTCTAGCCTGTGTTGTTCTTGGTGGCATTGCCCCTTTGTTGCCACTCGTTGGGGCTGCTGTTGGGTCTTTTGAAAAACTTCGTGAAGATATGGACAGCCCGGCTACCATCGACACGGGGTCTAACAAGGGGAAGAATCTCACATCGGTGGAGGGAAGCGTATCTTTCAAAAATCTTTCATTTGCCTATGCTTCACGACCTCACCACCCGGTGCTGAAGAATGTCTCTTTCGAATGTCCTGCTGGCAAGCATACCGCCCTCGTCGGCCTTTCTGGCAGCGGGAAGTCCACTATTGCTGGCCTTACATCTCGAATCTATGACCCTGCTGAGGGTACAGTTCTCCTTGATGGACATGATCTTAAAGAACTAAACGTCAAGGGACTAAGGAGTCACATGAGTCTTGTGCAGCAAGAACCCTCTCTTCTGGACCGGTCAATCGTCGAGAATATCGCCCTTGGCATCTTGAACTCGCCCCAGCCTGAGCATCAGAGATTTAAAACCACAATCCTTGGCACTGGACTTGGTGAGCTCGCCACTAGGCTCCGTCAAGGCGATGATCTCGTGGTAGCAGCTCAAAGCTTTGGGCAAGAAATGATTGATCTAGTTGAACGAGTTCAGGAGGCTGCTCGACTTGCTGACGCGTCTGGTTTCGTTAACAGATTGGAGTATGGCTATGGAACACTGGTCGGTACCGGCGGAAAGCTTGTGAGCGGCGGTCAACGACAGCGTCTTGCGCTTGCTCGAGCATTGATCCGCGATCCCAAGATCCTCATCCTGGATGAGGCCACAGCCTCTCTCGACTCCGCAAGTGAGCACCGCATCCAGATGGCCATCGAGTCTATTGCTAAGAATCGTACCGTCATTGCTATTGCCCATCGTTTGTCCACTATCAAAAATGCAGACAACATCATCGTTATGAACAGTGGTGAAATCATCGAGCAAGGCAACCATCTTGAACTAATGGCTCTCAATGGCTCATATGCCAGTATGGTACGCCTACAGACTGTTGACTCGGAGGACGCCGGATCTACCACAAGCACTGTACGGGCTGATGGTACCTTCTCCGAAAAGGACTCCGTTGCAGAACTGAAGGCTGAGAACGTTGGAAAGGAGGAGGTAGATGCTTACCACGTGCAAGAAACCGAAGAAAAGGATACTACTCCTGAGGCAGACGCTGCTCTCGACTCCAACAAGTCTGCTTGGGTCGTCATCAAGACCATCGGCAGCATGGTACGACCCTATCTTCTCCTCATCATTGTTTGTCTCTTTGCTGCCACTATCGTCGGGCTCACATTCTCTTCATCTGGTCTAATTTTCGGTTACACCATTGACAACCTCAGCCCCTGCAATCCTGTCCAAGATATTCGCTGGGCGGGTAGGTTCTTTGGAGGCATGTGGTTTATGATTGCCTGCGTCGAGTTATTGGCCAATACCACAAGCTGGACCGGCTTCGGCATGGTTGCTGAGAAGTTGTTATACAAGATCCGAGTCCTCTGCTTCCGCTCCCTGTATGAACAAGATCTCGATTGGCATCAGTCAGAAGGGCGCACTCCCACTGCGCTTCTATCTGTCATCACCACGGATGCCGCAGCAGTTGGCGGATTCAGCGGTTCTATCATTGGTACAGTCTTTTCTATTGTGGTCAATTTTCTGGTTGCCATCATCCTCTCACACATTCTCGCTTGGAAAATTGCCATCGTATGCTTGGTCATCGTGCCTATCCTTCTAGGCTGTGGCATCATGCAGCTTCGATCGTTGTCCAAGTTTGAGCGTCGCCATGCTGGAGCTTTCTCGGGGGCCGTCGGCATTGCCAACGAGGCTGTAAACTCTTTCAAAACCATCTCTTCACTATCTATAGAAGAGGAAGTCATGAGCGCATACCGTCGTGCTCTGAGGGCACCTCGGAAAGAAATCACATTGGCTTCTATGTACGCCAACTTGTGGCTCTCTCTCGCTAATAGCACCGGGAATTTGATCTATGCCTTCGCATACTGGTGGGGTTCGACTCGGATCACTGCAGGCGAGGCTAGCCAGCGAGAGTTCTTTATAATTCTTATCTGCATGCTTGTTAGTGCACAGCTCTGGGGTCAAATGTTCAGTCTTGCACCCGAAGTATCTCGAGCCAGGGCTGCCGCTTCCCGCATCCTGAGCTTGATCAATCTCGGATCTTCCAAGGACGAGGCGAAGAAAGGCAAACTGACACTCGCTATCGAAAATACCGAAAAGGATCTTGAAGCTCGGGCTGAAGCTCATGAGAAGAGTAGCGGAGGCAAGGGGGCCACAATCGTGTTCAAGGATGTGAAATTCTCATATCCGGCCCGACCTCATATTCAAATCCTCACCGGCATGTCGTTCACTATTCCTGGTGGACAGTTTGTTGGTCTTGTTGGACCATCTGGTGCTGGCAAGTCGACCATCATGTCGTTAGTCCAACGTATGTACCGACCATCAGGCGGCACTGTCGAGATCAATGGTGTTGATATTTGCGCACGTGAAGGAACCAGGTTCCGCAACGACATAGCAGTTGTTCCCCAGGACTGCGCTCTGTTTGACGGAACGATCCGTTTCAATGTCGCTTTAGGCTCAACTCCTGATCACGAGCCAAGTGACGAAGAGATCCATGAAGCTTGTAAGCTGGCCAACATCCACAACGTTATTATGGAGTTGCCCAACGGGTACGATACTGAATGCGGGCCTAATGGTTCGCGTCTTTCTGGCGGTCAGAGACAGCGACTAGCGATTGCGCGAGCCCTTGTGCGTAAGCCTAAGCTGCTTTTGCTTGACGAGAGCACAAGTGCACTTGACGCCGAGAGTGAACGGGCTCTGCAAGAGGGACTAGAGCGTGTAGCACGAGGTATCACCGTGATCGCCATAACACACAGGCTTCACACGGTGCGCAAGGCGGATGTCATATTCATGATTGAGGGAGGCAAGGTTGTAGAAAAGGGTCGACACGAAGAGTTGGTGGAAAGAAGCGAGACTTATCGCACGAATGCCCTGCAGCAGATGTTAGGAAACTGACAAGAGGATCAAATTACAGTAGAACCACTAGGATTAATATTGATATTGATGTTCTTGTGCAACTTGGAATCCAATAATGAGGTTGGGTGTCCTAGGGTAGGCAGATAGAGTTGGAGAAATTCACCCCCACGTTCATCTCTAACTTTAAGACCTCTAGCTGACCTCCAACCTCTTTTCTCAGTGTCTCAGCCTACTGATTGTAGAGGGTGCGACTTGGTGAACCTATCCAACCTGTCAATTCAGGGGATTTGCCCACGTTTCTTTCTGTTCATGGGATGACTCCCAGACACACCAGAAAACCCGTGCTATGGTTGCAACCCCCTGAATTTGTGTCAACAGTAGACAACCTGATATATCATGCACTTTTAGAGACAGCTTAGTCGTGTTTACATGAGATCCTGGTTAGGTAAGCGGACTGGAGAGTCCATCTTTGATTGCGAAACAATCGAGACGCAGAAGCGAGACAAGGTTGAATCAGGAGAAATACTATTAATAATGACGGCAATTCTTTGAAACTCTTCTCTCATGATCAACCTTCAGTACAGACTGAATAGTACTGTATTGCAACTGCAAGCCCCCAATAACAACCCGACGTCACATCGTACAAGGGTCTTTCTGCGCGCAACTCCAAGCTCAACCTATCACAAGCCTCAAAAGTGATCCTTTACTGCAAGTTTCCGCCTCGTTTGAGTGGCTTCCATCAACCCCTTGACTTGCGTGTTGCTTCACCCTCTCTCATTCCCCGGGTTACAATACCCTCAATCTGGCTCTGTGCATTACAGCCAAGCCTCAGTTTCTTACAGGTATCATTGTATCATCACCTCCAAAACAATCCACTCCAATCATACAAAACAAGGTTACGATCGCAAGCGGGGACGTTAGTGCTGTACCTTTTCTTGGCTGATGGGGCTGCGCTGCCTCGACGATTTCCTCATCCACTCGCAACAAATGACACCCAATTGGGTCTCTTGAACCACATGCCTTTCGTCACCGGCACACACCTTAACTTGTTCCGAACTTCTTTGTCGATAGCAGAAAATTTCTGGGCCTGGACCTAGACCTTGACCTTGTATCTTAAACTAATTCTTTTGACCTCTCCCGTCTTCTACGCCAGGCTTCAAAGTCGCAACCATTCCCTCCCCATCCACCCTCGACAATCCCTCCTCCGTTCCTGGCGTTGTCCCTACCGCATCCCAATCCCGCATTAACGACGTCCATCCGACCCGAGGAGGGAGTGCTGCTGCCTCCCTGTTAGACGATTCAGCCTTGGTATCACAGCAGCAATACCAGCGCGACAGTAGCGCAAACACGAGCGAACAGTTCGAGCTTGTCGATTACCCTCCCATCCAGGCTCGTCGAGACGCCGCAGATCGCGAAGCCAGAAGACAATCGAAACGAGAACGAAAGCGCCGCTGGCTTGAACAACAGGACGAGATGAAGTTTTCGCATAGTATCCAGTTCAATGCTGTTCCAGATTGGAGCAGCCATTATATCGCCTACAGCAATCTCAAGAAGCTGTGCGTTTGACTTCCCTAACGCGGTGATTGCGTGAATGTGCTGACTTTGTCGTGCAGTATCTACAATTTGGAAAAGACCGCCCATCAGGCGCGCGGTAGTACCGGCGATGCTGAATCAAGACCTCTCATCAACCAGGAAGATGCCGAAGACGTCTTCTCCAGGGCCCTTGGCGTCGAGCTGGAGAAGATCTGCTCGTTCTATGTGTCCAAGGAAGGTGAGCTTCTTGAAGAGGCTGCACAGCTCCTACGCGACGTTGGCGATGAGGCTGCAGATGCCATAGCCGACAACCGTTACTTGCGCCGCCTCTCTGTGTCGTCTGCCAACAACCGAGCCGACGGGCGAAATGGTTTCCGCTCAAGAAGCCCCAGAAGCCGCAGCAGCGACAATGAGGAGAGCGGAAGCGAAGAGGAAGATGAGACTACAGGGTTGACAACAAGACGACGAAGCAGCGCAGGCCGCAGGCGAACCCTTCCCAATTTAAATGCTAAGCCGCGCTCCGAGGATATGAATGCGTCTACCGACTTTGGCCGAGATGCGAGAAGGCACAGCACTGTTGGAGATGAAAACGAGGAAACTCTTATGTTCTCCTCGGGCATGTTTTCGTCAGGCATCATGCTCAAGAAACGTATTATTGGACTATATGTTTCACTCTGTGAGCTCAAATCATTCATTCAGCTCAACCGTACCGGTTTCACCAAGGTACTAAAGAAGTTTGATAAGATTCTCGATAAAGAATTGAAAGGACCATATCTACGAGCTCACGTCGAGACCGCCTACCCCTTCAAGGACGAAACCAAGCGCGTGCTCGAGGAAAACATTGCCAAGATGGAGAAGGCATACGCCGAAATTGTTACCGGCGGAGATGAGGCCCTGGCTCGTAAGGATCTTCGTTCGCATCTTCGAGAGCACGTTGTATGGGAGCGCAACACTGTTTGGAGAGACCTTATCGGTATTGAGCGTAGAGCCGAGGCGGCTGGCCTCGGACAGGCGCTACTTGGCCAAGAAAGAGGCAATGTGACAAGGAGGTTACAGGGCGACGAGGCCAAGGGCGCCCAAATCACGCAGTTCCGTACTCCTCTGGGCAGAATCACCTTGCCGCCATGGCTTGCAAGCACGTCTCTCTGGACCTTGATTGCATGCTTGACTGTCTTCTTCCTGCTCCTCTTGCTCCCTATCATGGAGAAGGCCGAGCAACAGAACTGCCTGGCCATGCTTGTCTTTGTCAGTCTAATGTGGGCCACTGAGGTAAGCTACACAGCGAGACATAGTCGCGACCAAGTTTCACTGACTTTTCTTAGACCATTCCTCTCTTTGTGACTTCATTACTGATTCCCTTCCTTTCTGTCGTTCTGAACGTGGTTCGTGATGAGACACCCGGCAAACCTCAGAAGCGACTGGGCTCCAAGGAAGCTACATCTGCAATCTTCGCTGCTATGTGGACACCCGTCATCATGCTTCTCCTTGGTGGCTTCACTCTAGCAGCGGCTCTATCCAAGTGCACTATCGACAAACGATTGGCTACTCTTGTTCTGAGCAAGGCTGGCACACAACCAAAAACTGTCCTGATCGCCAATATGTTCGTGGCTGCTTTTGCGTCTATGTTGATCAGCAACGTCGCTGCCCCTGTTCTATGCTATTCTATCATTGAGGTGAGTTTGCAATGATACGCTTTCGTGGAACCACGCTGACAGTTGTATCCATAGCCCATGCTTCGAACCTTGCCATCTGATTCCAATATGTCAAAAGCGGTCATCATCGGTATTGCACTTGCATCCAACATCGGTGGAATGTTGTCTCCTATTGCATCTCCTCAAAATGTGGTGGCAATGGGTATCATGCAGCCCGCACCTACATGGCTACAGTGGTTCTTCATTGTCATTCCTGTTGGTGCCGTGTCGATTGTCCTAATTTGGCTTCTTCTTCTCGTGACATTCCAGCCGGGTAAGGGCACAACGATTGCTCCCATCCGACCTGTCAAAGAGAAGTTTACCGGCCTGCAATGGTTTGTTACTATTGTCACCATTTCTACTATTGCTTTGTGGTGCGCCAGCCACCAGCTTGAAGCCGAGTTTGGAGATATGGGTGTGATTGCCATTATCCCTATTGTTCTCTTCTTTGGTATTGGTCTATTGACCAAGGAGGACTTCAACAACTTCCCATGGACCATCATCATTCTGGCTGCTGGTGGATTGTCCTTGGGCAAGGCTGTTCGCTCGTCTGGCCTCCTTCATACTCTCGCCGAAATTGTCTCTGAGAAGGTGGAAGGCATGAGTTTGTACGGTGTCCTGGTTGTCTTCTCGACTTTGATCTTGGTTATTGCAACCTTCATCAGCCACACCGTCGCAGCTCTGATTTTTCTCCCCCTTGTTTTCGATGTCGGTGCCGCCATGGATCAACCTCATCCCAACCTGCTTGTCATGGGTGGTGTTCTCATGTGCAGTGCCGCCATGGGCTTGCCAACCAGTGGCTTCCCTAACATGAGTAAGTTCAGCATCGTATTGCACCTGAACCTCGATTTCTAACTTGTCATAGCTGCTATCATGAAAGAAGATCCTTTCGGTCAGCGATATCTCCAGGTCAAGCATTTCATCAGCCGTGGTGTGCCCAGCAGTCTCATCACTCTCGTCGTTGTTGTAACCCTTGGATATGGAATTATGCAAGTCGCCGGACTTGACTAATGTGTGAGGCCCTGCATTAAATGTTCAGTCATTGCTTGGTTATCAGCTGTTTATGGTGTTTTGAATTCGAAGTTAGGTGTAGTTGCTTGGTTTAGTTAGATGGTGTCGAAATGTCATAAGTGTAGATCAGCGTGAAATAGATTATCTGTTTGCATTTAACAGTTTGGATCGCGTATAAATTCAGAACCACCAGGTGTCAAATCAGATATCTTGATCGCCGAGGATTTAAGAGATGAAATAGAACGGTGTCATCCTAAAGCTCAGACAAGTCTTCAGATAGGCACAGTTTAGCATAAGTAACAGTGTTTGGTCGACTCGAATAAGCTTCTTGCAATTTTAGTAATTTAATTCTAGATATTTAGAGATGAATATCCGTAGGTACACAAGTAGTAGATAGATACCTTCAGAGCGGAGGCAAGCGTGTAAGTGCGAACTGACACTGTTGTACTGTGCTGATGCAAGAAGCTCTGGCCATGCCGTTGACGTCGATATTGGCGGCATGACCTGCCACCCAATACCAAACACCCGACCACCGCTTTCGTCTTAATCTAACAACACCAAAGGTTCGCCGTCGATATTAGCAATTCTTGCTGTTGAGATATCAATAGCTGGATCTCGCAATATCTACACCCAACTACCCTTCGAATTAACTGATGCGCCCCCTCTTCCAATAGCCTCCACAGCTTCGAGCTGGCCGGCGCCATGCTCTCCGCCTTTACAGCCCGTCCTATAATCGAGCTCAAACAACAAACGAAAGCTAAGATTGAAACGATCCTCGCTAACGGTACGCTCATATTCATATTCTCTGTTCAGTGGTTGATTCCATCTACCTCACCGCAACTCCTATGGCTGTCCTGTACATAACTAAAGCCTTCACGTCCAGGTGACCGCGTCCTCGTCGGCCTTAACAACGGCGCCCTCCGAATCTACCGTTTGAACGAGCTTCCCGATCAGTCTCAGAATGGCTCTGCCGATGCGGATGCCAATGCCACAACATCCGTGTCCAGCGAGAGCAATACTGCTCCTAATAAGTCGACAAGCCCAACGGACTTGATGCGAGAGGTCGAGCGCTTCTCCACACGAGCTATCGAGCAGCTGGCAATCATCAAAGATGCAAATACGATCGTTTCTCTGTCTAACTACCATGTATCATTCCATGATCTGAAGACATACGAACTCATCGAAACTCTGAACCGAACCAAGAACGCAACGTGCTTCGCATCGACCTCAAATATCGTTAAGGATCCTGACACTGGAGTTCCTGAAATCGTAAGCCGGCTAGCTGTTGCGGTCAAGAGGAAACTGCTGCTCTGGAGCTGGCTCGAGAGCGAGCTCTCCGAAGATGTAGACGAAATTGTTCTAGCTGAGTCGATTCGATCAGTAACATGGGCGAGTGCGACAAAGCTGGTGTGCGGTATGAATGGTGGATACGTGATGGTCAACGTGGTCACACGTGAAATTGAAGATATCGTAAGCCCTGGCTCGGGGCCAGCAGCCGGACAAACTAGCCGGTTTGGTGCGATGAGCAGTGCCGGCATGGGATACATGGGCTTGGGAGGTTATATGCCCAAACCATTATCTACCAAGCTAGCTGAAGGGGAGATACTGCTTGCCAAAGATATCAACACATTATTCATCGATGACGATGGAAAGCCCCTCGACAGAAGGCAGATTCCTTGGCACCATGCCCCTGAGTCTATAGGTTACTCGTATCCCTATATTCTGGCCCTGCAAGCGCCTTCAAAAGGCTCACTTGAAGTTCGAAATCCCTCAACACTCTCATCGCTCCAAAGCCTCTCACTACCTGGAGCGGCTCAGCTACACTTTCCATCACCAACCTACAGCCTTGCCCACCGCGGCAAAGGTTTTCATATCTCGAGTGAGCGGTGTGTTTGGAAGATGGATGCAACAGACTACGACTCTCAAATCCAGGAGCTTGTTGATGGTGGTCATTTTGACGAAGCAATTAGCATATTGGAAATGCTAGAGGATGCTTTGCTGGAAAACAAAACTCAGACATTGCGCGAGGTCAAAATGCTGAAAGCTGAAAGTCTGTTCAAGAAGAAGAAATACCGCCAGGCGATGGATCTCTTCAACGAGGACACTGTGCATGCTCCTCCTGAACGAGTGCTCCAGATGTTTCCACCCTCAATTGCTGGAGAACTATCTGCATGGTCAGGGCGTGAGGAAGAGGAGAGCCAGGAATCTGACGAAGCTCCCGAGACACCAAAGAAGACCAACGGAACACGTTCCACTACTCCTGAAGCTGCTGAGCCAACGCACGAAACTCCTCAATCGAGCAAGGGAGGGTTTGCTAGGTATCTTACGGGAAGCTATAGAAGGCCCCAAGCAGATACCGCGTCCCTTTTTTCGAAGAAAGACACGGTAGATGGCGACGACACTGCCAGTATAAAAGAGACTGAATCGAACGAGGATCTGCCTTTGAAAGACAAGGACTTGACTAACGCAGTCCTTGAACTGAACAGTTACCTTGCTGGAACACGCGCTCGGTTGCAGCGTGTTATCGATCCGGTCACTGGAAACTTAAAGCCTCGGAGTGATCGAAATGGCTCCACGGAGGAAATAGCAGAGAACTTCCTACGCATAGGGCTTGACGAATCGGAAGAAAAGCTACAAGAAGAGCTGCGAAATACGTTCCGCCTAGTTGATACGACGTTGTTCCGAGCCTACATGTTCTCTCGACCAACATTAGCGAGCTCTCTGTTTCGAATTCCTAATTTCTGCGACCCTAACGTGGTCAACGAAAAGCTTTTGGAGCATAATCGCTACACTGAGCTGGTCGACTTTTTTTACGGCAAAAAGCTACACAAAGAGGCTTTGGAGCTGCTGAGGCGTTTTGGTGCTGCTGAAAAGCCAGATGAGGCCGCGCCAGCACTTCATGGCCCCGAGCGTACTATCCAATACCTTAAAACTCTGCCTCCATCGGAGATCGACCTCATTCTTGAGCATGCAGAATGGACTCTTAAGGCTAGTCCTGATGATGCGCTCGAAATTTTCACTGGCGATACTGAGAACGCAGAAACACTACCACGGGAAAAGGTTGTGTCCTTTTTACACGATATCGATACACAGTTGGAAGGACGATATTTGGAGCATATCATTAACGAGCTGGAGGATATGACGCCTGATCTTCACAACCGACTAGTGGAGCTCTACGTAGAGAACTTGACGAAAATGGAGCATGGCGATGAGTGGAACGAGATGATGAACCGCTTTGTTGAGTTCTTGAGGCACGAGTTCCTGAGAGAACCAGTGCAGGTTTATAGCCTCAGCAAGGCATTCCAGCTGATTCCTCGCGACGGTAAGTCGTCTGTTTTACTTCGCAGCGAAGTATGCTGACTATCAATACAGAACCTGCTTTCTACGAAGCACAGGCTGTAGTGTTGAGCAAGATGGGCCAGCACAAGCAGGCACTGGAGATTTATGTGTTCAAGATGAAAGACTACCAAAAAGCTGAACAGTGCGTTTTCACTGATATCCCTGACCTGCCTCTACTGACTTCAACAGGTACTGCAACCGAGTCAATGCGACTCAAGATACCACTTCATCTCAACAGAATACCAAAGACGATGGAGATGATCCCGAAAAGACCACACCTTCTATTTATCATACACTTCTGTCGCTCTATCTTCAACCATCACCACCCAACCAGCCCAACCTAGAACCAGCACTTGATCTGCTTTCTAAGCATGGCTCACGCCTCCCAGCAACCTCAACCCTGGGTCTTATTCCAGACGATCTTCCCGTTCGGTCATTGGAGTCTTACTTTCGGGGGCGCATTCGTTCAGCCAATAGCCTGGTAAACGAGGCGAGAATTGTTGCTGGTCTTCGACAAGCTGAGGGAGTCTCCATCGCGGCGCGACTGCACCTTGGGGATGACGTACAAGGTGGGCAAGGTGGACGCAACCGTCATGTTGCCATCACAGAGGAGCGACACTGCGTTGTATGTCACAAGAAACTTGGAGGGGGTATGCGTATTGGTGGAAGCGTTGTGGCCGTTCTACCGGATAACACAGTGGTGCATTACGGCTGTTTGAATCGAGCAACTGGGAACAAGGTAGACGCAGCTCGAGCGCCAAGTTGGGGTCGTGGTTTTTAGACGAGTTGCTATGCTAAGCGGGAGCATTGTTTCGGGGAGCATCTGCATGAATCGGATCGGTGGTAGCCAGTATGACATTTTTTCGAATACCCTTCATATACAAATATTTTGAGTCGAGGGTTTTGCTTTCGTTATTGCGGATTTGGTTTTTCAGTCCTCCTCCTCCACCACCTCTTCGCCGTAGTTTTCTTCCTCCTTGGCCTCAGCTGCCGCGTCTCTCGCCTTGTCCTGCTCCATTCGTGCTGTGAGCTCCTGGTTGATTGTGGCCTGGGTATCAGCAATAGATGCACGTAGAGCCTCGAGGAATGACGCCTTGTCAGTCGTGGAGGCTGTAGAGGAAATGGCTGGCAGCTGATGTGAGACCTTGAAAGGCTCGCTTTCCGGGGAGGAGTAGTCTGCGGTAAGAGTTGGTTGCGACATTGTAAGGAGTGTGTGGTTATGAAGTTGGAATGTCAATGATTGGAGAAGTAAAGCAAGAAGAGTTGGTAGAGTTGCCGCGGGGTTACGGAAAACAACCCCACATCATGGATGCTTGTATTTCTAGGGATGTGACGGAATTGACATTGGATACTTGCGAATCAACTACACCAAAAAAAGATATATTCTCAAATCGCCAGGTTGTCACTTTCAGTAACTACCTTATGAAAGTACAATGGCCACTATGTTTATACTCTGCCATATCTACTGACATTGTAATTAATACTATTCATAGGTTCAGAAATGTGCTGGACATGTGTTCATGTAATAGCGTTAGTCAGCACATTGGTGGCTTGCTCAATGCTCAACTCCCTGTCTACCGGCTGTGGTTAACGATCTTATCTCCAGGACTGTCCAGTAATTCAACCTTCAGCAACGATTATCCCATGCCTACCCTCCACTAGCCTGATCATGGCCGAATGAGAATCGCATAATACTCCGTGAACGTTTTGTGGTCCGAAACAAACTTCAAACAGCACTGGGTCCTGTCAACTCGGCCTCAGCTTTCGGAAGGGACCAAGATGTAACAGCGGCCCTGGCGGCGCATAAACAACAATGCAACCCTCACGTTCTCAACCCCGCGGTCCGGGCAGTTTTTCTCCTTTATCAAGCTCTTCTGTCCAACCTTCACAGCTATCGACCTCCTCAAGGCCTGCTCTCCGTCGAGTCGAAACCTCAGACGGTGAAGACGAGACCCCTCGAGCCTCCATTACGATACCCAAGTCGCGACAACCTCCACAGCCTCAACCCTCGTCTCCCGCGACACCGATATATGCCCAATTCACCACACATGGCAACTCTAGTACCGCGAGCTTAGGCCATCACAACTTTTCGAGACCGGCAAACGCAAGATCTGTTACCCAGGGATCGCCAGCGACTCTGGTCAAAGGTCATGCGCGCAAACACTCTGCTACACAAGGCTCTTTTGAACCTACGCTGCCGTCTATGAGCACTTCGAATCTATCTTCGCATCTCGGAATGACTCATCAAAATACCTCTACTGCTTCTGCCTCCGCAGCTGCGGCGGCGGCGGCGGCTGCCTCTGCCTCCAATGTGAGCTTGTCTGCAAGTCAGATGGCAGCGCAGGCGGCTGTTATGTCGCATCAAAACCACTCACGCCAGCGCTCACAGACGGTCCCTTTCCCTGGCGATCAGAACGAGGGTGTTCGGCGAGGGAGTGGTAGCAAAGGCCCTACCAGCCCGCCAATGCTGAGCTTGACGGAGGCGAGTGCGCCGCGAGATACAGGGTTCGTGAACCATGGCGGGTATGGTGGGCCACATTCGTCTGCTGCTACGGCGGCCGCGAATGTTGTTTTCCCTCGATCTGGTCACAACTCTCCAAGAGCATCGCCTCAGCCATATTCACAACCACCTCCTCCACCTCCACCCGCGTCGGAAAAGCCAAGCAAGATAGAAAAGTCCAAGGTGAAACTTTTCTCCCGTCCAGGCAAAATTAGCACAAAGGGCGAATCAAAGGAGAAGCCTTTACCAAGTCCAGGAAAAATTGGTTCCGCTTTATCGGCTCTTCAACGTGGGAACTTCAGTACAAACAGCCTGGTTGATCCAAGTAGTCAGTCCATGTATAATCTCAACAACTCATCTTCAGCAACCATACGACCTATTGAAACGCCTACAGAAGAAAGAGAAAGGGACAAGGAAAAGGAAAAGGGCAAGGAGAAGGAGAAGAAGCACCATTTCCTTTCGCGGCAAAAGCACAAGCTGAAAGATGAATACCATCTTCCATTGTCATCAGCGGCTAGCAATTCTCTTCCAACCGATCCTAATGCGCCAAACCCATTGTACAACTTCAATATCCCGCCAAGTCCTGCGCCCACTTCTTCCACCTTTGCCAAGGCCAAAAAGGACAAGAAGCTTGCTGAAAGGTCGGACAGTCGGCTAGATAATGAGTCGAGCTTCAATGTGCAGAGCGAATGGCCTGGACCTAGTAGCCTACCGTCGATGTCTCAACAGTCCACAATGTATGATCCTGTCGACCCTGGAAAACTAGGGCTTCATAACCACATGTCGCTGGACGATGCGTGGCCATATTTGAGAGCCAAGCTCCTGGTCATCTTTGAGGGCGAGGATCTGCGTCTTCCGGTAGAAGACTTCAACCGTGTTGTGCAGATGCACATCCAGTGGTGCATGCATAGACGCTCACCCAATACCATGCTGGAGGATTTGCGAGATCTTTTACACACGGGCTTCCTGTCACTTGATCGAACATTGCGTCAGACTCCTGAAGACCGCTTTATTCCAACACTGGTGGAGCTTTGGATGTTTACCTTCACGTCCATCCTACCATATATGCAGGCCGTCTTTCTCCCGCTAGATCTTGAGGTATCAGGCTGCGGTACACTCATGACCGGAGAGCAAGCCCGTGATTTCTGGGGCGGTGCTATCGCGTCCTCGTTTGGCTCAGGGGGGCAAGCTCGTGTTGCTCCGGCACCATCGGTTCTTGACGTAAGAAGGCTTGTCCTCATCGCTTACAGGGACACTGTCATCCTACCACGCTACGACACACTGAAGACTATATTTTCGCGGCTCTCCCTCGAGTTTCTGCCATCATCGCTTGCAAATATGGCGATGGCGTCTCCACCAGAAGCGTCGCTGTCTACCTCCCCTCCTGAGTCGTTTGGCCGCCCCGGTACAGCAATGTCTCTTGACCCATCCAATGCTTCTTACAACTCAACAAGCACAACCCTTCTTGGAGAAGGCTCCGCTGGGGGTCGTAGTCGTGCCATCAGCAATGTCAGCTTCGGCAGTCACGGTAGTGATGGCGGCTTGAGACCGTTCACACCATCGGGAAGCGGAGGAATACCACCCGTGCCCTCCCTGGGTAGTCTACGAGAACGTGAGCAGAATGTTGAGGACTCAAAGCACATCACCGAGATGGTTGGTCGAATGTTGCAGTGTATGAGTGTCTTGTCAGGGGTGTCAGCTGGCGATGTTGGGGCTGAAGGGAACGAGCGGGTCGTGGAGCTGTGCAAAATGCTGAAGCTTAACTGGTTGGGGAGAGGAAGAACGGGAAGGAACAGAAGGGGTATGGTCGGTGGTCGAGTGCGGCGAGATGATATGAGAGACGAAGTCCGTGTTATTTAGCGATTTGTTTACTCTTTTTATTCGAAAGAAAAGCCAGATTTGGTATGTGGCAGGCCAAATACTTGGAGTAAAGGAATAAAACCTCATCAAGAAATCTGATGGGAGTGCCAAGTCCGAAAAGTCCATCGCGCATCCAACATGTCTTCTTACCATCGCGCGAGACGTGGACCTGTTGGCAATAACGGAGTTCACATAATGCAAGGCATCATGACGCTACCATCATGACACCTAAAAGAAGTGGAACATTAACACGAAACACGCTGATTTGGAGTGTAGTAGACATGATCATCATTGTATTATTCATTATTTATTTATATTTGAAAGATTGATATTCGTTGCAGGATCTAGTACTTTTTGACAGTTAGCTTCAAGACTCGATAAAGAAGTTGTCAACAATAAAATGTGAGGTACGGTGTTTGATCAGACATCCAAGGAAGTATAAACCCTCATCTGTCCCAGAAAAGGCTCGATCGGGACTCGAGTGGAAACTGCGAATTAAGAGGAAAATTTCATCATGCAAACGGGGTGGTTGGTTGTGAAGAAAAAAATTGCAAACTTACGTTAGTTTTCAAAAAGCTTCGTGAAGCTGTTGTGGTTAATTATTGGTATAGCAGGTTTTCGTAAATCTGTTCATGCAATATTAGCAAGGCTGCCAGGAATGCGCGTGCTACAAAGGCTGTGTGTTTTGGTGTAGTCAGACGTTGATACTGGCAAGTAACAGGCCTAGGGCCCGAACAGACTGAATTTCTTCATGGTCGATTCAGTTGGGAAAAGAAGACTTGTAACAAGTGTCATCATTCAGAGAGGAAGGGGGAGGAGTGCTGCGAGGCAGAAGAGAGGGTGTGGTTTTCTTACCATTCATATCCAAGTGGTTTGCAGGGCTGCAGACAAAGAATTTGCAAGCCAAATGAATCACCTAAGCAAACTCCCACACGACCAAGACCATGCGCGCACCGCGCATACGAAGCTGTTCAAAATCAAAACAGCTGCTCCTCCAAGAAGACAGTCGTGGTGTGATCTCGCGCGTGGTGGTCGTGTAGGAAGAAGGCAGAGGCGACTTGTTGTTGTTGGAAAGGATTGAAGCTTGAGAGAGGAAGTTTGAGAGCCGCATCGAAGCAAGATATTGGAAGACAGTGCAAGAAAATTTGCTATATGCGCGGCACTGTGTGGCTTTCACGTGACCGGGTTCTTGTCCTTTCTTGGCGCTAGCGGCGGAAGCCAGTTCAGGGCCCGCTTCAATACCGCGATAGATGCATGAAGCAAATTATCTTATCCTTCAGGACCCTCCCGCCGCTGCCTCCCCACTGGGCCTGGATTGATTGTCTTGGGATCCATAGGTACGACTAAGAAAGCTGTTAGCCTAGGTTCACGCACGTCATGATGCCCATGAGCTTTTACCAAGTTTTCTTCTTCTTCTTCTTCTTCTTCGTTCTTTTGACAGTGTTAACAGTCAGATGATATGTCTTGCTTTTTTTTTTTGCGCCAGCCTTGAACGACATGCCAGTGATTTTCTCTATCTGTGCGTGTGGCTCACAGATACATTGAAGTCAATCTTCATCAGCAACATTATGCGATAGGGTAACCTAGAAGAGGGCAGGTAGAAGGCAGTACTACGTAGTATCCTGGTTGATGGGCCTCGTCGCGTGTCTTCAGGGATCCGGTACTTCGTTATAACGAGTGTAGCTTTAATTTTTACGTATTTTATTCATATATCGGGCAACGGGCTAACAAATTGACAGAAGTCGTGCGCCAGACTTTGGCCCAGCTGATCTCGCTGGCTTTTGTCAGCCTCTGAGCCAGCCACATCTTTGTTCTCGATAAATACATAACCCTCCACTCTTATCTCGGGGTCCTCAACCAAGTCCACTGACCTGGCAAGAGACCCATTTATCCCACGTCTGCACGTATCAGAGCCCTTCCCGTCTCCTTTGGAATCCACTTGCCCAACTCAACCAGACGAGGTCATGGAAAGGACCTCCCAGCTCAGCCCAGCGATTGTGACAGAAAGAGTTGAGTGAGATCTCCCCCGGCCTGTAAGAGCGAATCCGTCGATCTCTATCTACAGCATCTCTTCATCCTGGGTATCTCGATATAATTATTTTGATTATTAACTTCTTGAAATTCTTTGCTGGGAAAAAGACAGTCACGAATGAAACAGAGAAATCAGGCAGATCTGAGGCCCTATACTTGGGAACTCTTACAACCCTGCCTCTAGTCTACGCCTTGATTTGGCATCTTCCCTTCCGCCTTGCTTGGTCCACGGGTTCTCTCATAGGTAGACTGCAGACCAGACTGCCTACCACCATCAGTACCCTTTCTTCTTCTACTTCCCCTTCCAGAGTGTCTTCTGGTCGGTCCGTCAAACTCCTCCCACCTCTTCCCCCCTTCTTCTCTTGTTTTTTCCCCTTGGATATTCAGCCAAGTCGAAAACCAAGATCATCAGCCCCCCCGTCACGTCAGATTCCACCCTTGTTTTCTTGCGTGCCGTCTCGATACTCTCCTGTCAGCGTGCGTACCTGAGTGCCGGGCCCGCCGTCGCGTTACCAAAGCCAGCCCAGTCCAGCCCAATAATTTGGCTGGTAAAAGCATAGCAGACATAATTAATGAGTCAACTTGCAGCAAATTAAGCCCGACTTCCAGGTAATCTATTCTTTACGCCCTAACGACCGCTTATAAGCTTGCTAATACCCCCCTGACAGTACAGTCCAGTGCACTGGAAAACTTAAGCGCGCCCACGCGGAAATATAACCCAGCCCGATCCGAACCAGGCCCAGTCATAGTCGCAGTCGCCATCCTGTCCTTGCGACTCCCGTTCTTCTCTTTCCCCCGTCCCCCAGTACTGAAAGCGGATCACCCTCTTTGTGGCATCGCTCTCCCGCGTCTTTCGCATTCTCCTTCCCGGGTCTGTCACGACAATCCACCAATTCCTTTCTCGACAACCTCAATTTGCGCTCTTTTTGGGCCTCACTTGTTCCTGGTCAACATAATTATAATACCTACCACTGACCTACTTGGGGTCTCGACCATTGGAATCTCGTGACGTGCCACTGGCCCCATCGTCGCCTCATTCGCCCACTACCTCCTCTTTCCCCCAGTCCAGTCCAACCGGGCTCATTCTCTCTTATCCGCTTTCGCAGCGCGAAACATACCACAAAATCTTCATAACGCTCGCCGACGCCTTGACGACAACTATCCCATAGCCGCTTTACGATCCGACACGGAGCATTCTGTTTATCCCTCTTTATCTCTTGTTCTCTTCCGATACGATCGCTATCGCACCGTGCCCCCGATCTTGTCTTGTCGCGACGCGCGAAATATCTATTGTAGAGCACCTTCCGCTATCTGGAATACTTGATCATTGACGCACGCACTCGCGTTGTCGATCAGCCTTCGCTTGTCGCCCTTGTTCAACGCATGCGATAGTGTTTCCGCGCGATTGTCGATATCCACGGCGTGGATCGTCGACCTGACTTCTCAGTCATGATGACAAGTATCGGCCCAAATTTCTCTGGGCATCCTGCTGGTATGGGGCATCCAGGAGTCGCCGGCCACCCTATGGGCCCTGGTGGCATGCCTCATAACCAAGGCCAGCAAGGCGCTCCCGGTGGTGGAATGCCTCATCAATTCGGAGGACCTATGGTCTCTGCTCCCGGAGCACAAGTAAACCCTGCCCTCATGGGCGGCATGCCGCCGGGTGCGAACCCAAATACTCATGCTTTACAGCACCTCAATCCCGCCGCTCAGCAGCAAATGCTGCAGCAACAACTCCAGCAACAACATTGTATGTATAATCCTACTGGCACTGTCCCTGCAATCCCCTGTCTCTACGCACGCGCTAATTGGCTCCTCTCAAGTTAATAATCCGCAAGCGATGGCAGCGATGCGACAGCAACAGCAACAGCTCCTTCAACAACAACAAGCGCGACAGCTCATGGCTCAACAAGCCGCTTTCCAGGCTAACATGCAAGGTGGCGGCATGCCGATAAACATGGCTCAATTTAGCCAACTTAACCCTCAGCAGCTACAGCATCTCAGAGGGAGACTGGGTCCTGTAAGTTGATTGGTACCCAACCTGCCGCAATCAAGTGCACCTCCGTTAACAAACCAGGGACAGCATCCTCAGGCCCAAGCAATCATGGCCCAGCAGCTTGCTCTTCAACAACATCAACAGCAGCAGCAACAACAACAACAGCAGGCTGCTCATGCTCAGCAAATGCAAGCTGGGCCTAATCCAGGCCAACCGATGTCGATGAATGCTCAAAGCATGCAAGCCATGCAGCAACAGAATCAGCTTGCTCTCCAAAACCAGATGGCAAACCAACAAGGTCAGCAGCCTCAGGGTCAGCCTCAACCACAGCCACAACAACAACAGCAGCAGCAACAGCAGCAGCAACAACAGCAACAACAGCAGCAGCAGCAGCAGCAGCAACAGCAACAACAGCAACAGCAGCAGCAGCAGCAACAGCAGCAACAGCAACAGCAGCAGCAGCAACAACAGCAACAGCAACAACAACAACAGCAGCAGCAGCAACAGCCTGGCCAACAGCAACCTCAGCACACTCCTCAGCAGTCGTCGCAAGCTGGAACACCCGCCCCTACTGGGCCTCAAACTCCTGCTCAAACACCTAGCTCAACTCCTGCTCAGCCAACTCAGTTGCCGCCCGGTCAGAATCAGCCTCAAGTGCCGCAAACTCCTGCTCAATCACAAGCTCAACCTCAGCCTCAAGGTCAGGCACAGGCTCAAGCCCAGGCTCAAGCACAAGCCCAGGCACAAGCCCAGGCTCAGGCACAGGTTCAACCTCAGCAGCATCAGATGAATGCTGCCACCGCCCACCAGCTTGCGATGCAGAATCAGTTCCTGCAGCAACAGCGGAGGGATAGCATGAAAGGCCAGTGTTTGCTTAAGTTGATGCAGTTCAGCGAACATCTTAGTGGCTTTCCCGTAAGAATGCATTTCTTTCAAAATCTCAGTTCCACGCTAACAAGATGACAGGGATCCAAGGGCAGAGAAGATCTCTCGTATTGGCAGGAATTCGTTACGCGATTCTTCTCCGTCAATGGTGTCTTTCGCCACTCACTACACATTACCGATGCTGAAGATACGACCGATAAGCAATACGAGATTACGTTCCCCGCCATTGCTCGATACTTCCATACTCACTTTGGCAGTGGCGTCAAAAATATGCAGTTGATTATGGATAAGGGTGTTACAGATCGCCCTCTTCCGGGAGAATGCCACTGCATCGAGAATTCAAAGGCTAGTCTCGTGTACTGGTTCGAGACAGGATCTCACGTAAGACATCCATGGTTGAGTTTGAGCGATGGTGAAACTAACGCGGTTGATAGTTGGTCGCGAGTGGTACCCTACGAGCACAGTTTGATGCTGAACAGAAGATCGAACTTTTTGAGTTTCTTACGACGAGTCACGACGAATTTATCTCACGAAAGCAGGTCATTGATGCTGCGAAACCAGCCCACATGTGGATGAAGGAGTGGCATAAGACTAACTCTCAGGATGGCAAGTCGCCTGAATTGTCCAAGAAGGGCAAGGGTCGGCAGTTGAAGTCCCCCCAAACACAGCCTCCGGAAGTCTTGGTCGACCTGCCAGACTCGGCTGTTAATAGTAAGGGGGTGACTGAAGCGGTCTTTCAGTTTCTTGAGGTAGGAACGGCTCACTCATCGTAAGTAAAGAGTGAAGCTAATGAATTATGTCCAGATTGTTGAAGTGATGGGACAGATGAACCCATTGTTCCAATATAATTTTTCGAACCCCGGCATGAGCCCCTATCAAACGCTCGACCAGTACGTCTCGACACATATCAACGGAGCCCCTCCGAATATGAACGGCCAGCAAATGCCCCCCGGGGCCCGCACACCTAGCTTTGGGCAGTTTCCGATGGGCGCAAGCCCGGCTGCCGCTCACATGAACCTGCCTGGATCGCCTCATATGGGCAGTCCGGCACCTGGCCATATGCAGGCCCCTGGAATGCAGATGCAGCAAAGTCAACAGGGTACTGGGTCAAGTGGACCTAGCGCAAACACATCTCCCGCCTCGAACAAACGAAGAAGACCCTCCGCAGTAAAAGAGGAGGATGGATCTGGAGCTCCTACGCCTAACGCCAATGGGATGCCTCGCAATGCCAAGCCTCCTACACCAAGAATGCCGAAACGACTCAAGGGTAACCCGCCTGCACAGTAAAGGGTGTCAACCTTTTATGTAACTGGCGTTCTTGATGTTTGCTGTTTTGATTTTGCATATGTTGCATGGTGGCGTCTCTTCATTTTGATTTTACTTCGGGCGCTGGCTCTTGGGAAAATACCTGGTTGTGGCAGAACGAATGCATGTGGGGTGGTGTGATTTTGTTATCCATCTATCCATTCCTGGTCATCCTTTTCAAAGCATAGAGATCGCTCTTGAAGGTCTCGAAGCGGTACGTCTTGCACTGCTGGCTGCCTTCTCGAACTGAGAGTCCAATGATACGGTGGTGAGGCCATGCAAGTCATTCGCGCACACACATAACGACAGTAAACGAAATCGTCATGGGCCTGTTCCTCGGGCAGTTGGGCCAACGAATAGAGGTGAAAGCGAGGGTTCGGGGCTTAATCTGGGTAACAGTGTTGTAGTTACTCGTGTACGACTACCAGGGTTTGCGGCACAGGTCCACTTCCGAGATCCTGGCTACCCTTTTTGTTTTCGTTTTTTGTTATGCGCATTTGTCTTCTACTTGTTTTCCTGTTGAAAGAGACGCTCGACAAGCAATCCGGTGTACATGGCGGAGTTTGGAGACACGAGGTATCGGTTGCGCATGCGGCAGTTATCAAATGGCGCGTTAATTTCAGAGTCAGAAGACAGAAAAAGATGGAAGAGTTGGGGAGGCCGCGTTGAATTATGAGCGGTTTGGATGCGCGAGGATATCATGGGGTTATTCAGATTATACCTAGGTAAATAAGGAGTTTGGTCTTTGCCATGTCAAGTTTCAAATTTTCGAGCCTCGATCCGTTTACTATGTGCTTCAACCTGCTTTGACTGTACCATCAGGGACACTCGCGATAGGAATGGGTAACGATAGCTCTTAATCGACGACCTGTAATGAGCCAATAGTACATTACGATAAACATCTACTAATTCACATGCAGTAGTCCTTTTGCTGCTATTACGAAGCAGATCTCAGCTTCCTCTTCCCATATTCAGTCGTACTTCCAGCATACATGGGATTCTGATACATTTTCCTTATTTGTGATACACCGTCGTCTTATATCGAAAACACCCGTCGGATTTTCCCACTCCTGCGATGCAAACTAATCAGTGCTTGTCTCTTAGAAGAAATGTGTGTATACATACGTAAAGCGCTCAAGTCGTGCTACCAAACCACCAACCAGTGGGCTTCTTGGTCGGGGGCGCCTCACCACGAATAGCAATATAGCACTTGAGCGCGCCTCCAGAGGAAGCCATCATCTCCTTGAGCAGAAACCACTCAAGCTCAGTGCGAGCCATGATGTCGGTTTTGGTGATAGGATCGCGATAGTGCCATTCCGTGTCGCTCGGTCCAAGCGGGAGAATGGCGCCGCGGAAGGTCCAGTACAAAGTCGCAGCGATCAGTTTAGGGCGGCGGATCGATCGAGTGCGACGAGACTTGCTGTTTTGGGATTCAGGTACTGGAAGTCGCTCTCGCAAAAGGTTAAGGAGGTGGACTCTGGAGGTGTCCAAGGGGATACGTAGAGACGTCTGAGGGAGATCCCAGGGATAGGTCAGAGCGCTATCGTTGGCGGGATCATGGACGATAAGCTCGAACTCGAGGTCGGAGGCTTCGGTGGGAGTAGGCAGAGGAGCTGGAGATCTAGAGCTACCAGAGGTTGAAGTGTTGCGTGTCTCGGCTCGAGTAAGAGGGGGCGAGACGGGCGCAAAGGGCTTTGTTTTGGGTGGCTCGTAGGCGAAAGGCTCTTCGGCGGTGATGCAGAGATCCATGATACTCGAGTCTTCTTTTGTCGAATGAATCAGGTTGAAGGCGACAGTGATGTATGGCCAAGGCACGAAAAGATGGAAGTCTTGTGATAACAATACTAACTTGGGCGGGTGTCAATACAGGGCAGTGGTTCGTTCGATGGAGGGTTTCGTAACTCTGAGTGAGATGAGTTTGAAACTCTTCTATGAGGCTGCTGTTAATAAATTGTGACCAAGGCGCTGTGGTCGCGCTGGTTGTGATTCGCAAGTGCTCCAGGTGCTGGCAGTGACAAGATGGCGGGCCAAGATGTCCAACTTCTAGCCATGCACATGGAGATAGGTTTACTACTTTGGCAGGCACATGAGCAGTAGGTGATTCAACCATTCGTTCTCAAAAGCTTCTCTGCTTTATTGCTATCAGACGCATCGTGTTCGAGCGACCCCAACTCCCTCTTAAACGTTTGCAACGTCCTCTTCATCTACACTCTCATCTACAGTCGGCTGCTTATATTCCTCACCACCAATATTCTTAGGGCTCCCATCAGTATTGTCTCCTTTCGGTGAACCTACGTCAGTATCCACAGGCCCAAGCGGCGTTTGAGTGCCAGTGTTGCCGTTTCCTGTGCTGTAGGTTTCATCATTGCTGGTGTTGACTGGCTCTTTTGGGGAGCTTGGTGGTGCAGGTGAAGCTTGACGAGTGCTATGAGGAGCAGTCTGAGCTGCATTAGTCAAGTCACTTGAGGCGTTATTCGCAACATCATTTGAAGACTGGTCAGAGGAGCCCCGAGCTAGGACTTGAAGAGGGACGTAAGCATGCTGGCAGCCTACATGTTAGCTAACTTATCTCTTCCTCTTCCACCATGATATTTTCCTCCTTCTCACACTTACGTCGACGAGAATAAACGCCCCGTAGCTGTTCGCAGATATTTGGTACATGATCGACTGGAAGTCGTTGGCAGTTAGCTGGTCCGCGAATGAAACCTTTCGTACATTGTCGGCTGGTGTTATAGGCCCAACATTAGGAAGAATCGAAAGGTTCGAATATTGACTACGCGTAGTATACAGCGTACACTGTCCTGAGTAAACTCGGTCTCCTAGGTTATGCTGCTTGGACCACCACGCCAGATTCGCCAGAACCGTTTCGCGAGTTGGCGTATAGTTGTAATAGGCATCATTGGAAGCGAGGACAGTTCCTGCGCGGTGGAATATGATTTTGATTCTGATATTCGAAGTCAAGATGTACTGAGGTACTGGGGTAATCACGGGTGATGGTTGCCAGTATAAAGGCGTGTAAGTAGTACGAGGCAACAAGACTACTAAACTAGAGGGAATAGTTGCTGGAGCGGCTGGGAGGAGGTAGTTCCCAAAGATTGGAGGTTGGAAATAGAACGACATTTTGTGCAAAGGGGAACGATAACCAGAATGAGAAGTTTACTAGGAGAAAAAGGATCTTCTCTCTCATTTATATACCTCTCGGTATGATGCTGCATGACTGAATCACAAACACAGTCGACATCAGTTGGTGATGGGTTGTTTGATATTGGTCATCTCTACCTACCTACCCTAAGGGATAACAGCAGAAGACTTGATTTCTATTACAGACATTCACGATTGAGTTACTACTGGGATTGTGAGCAACTGCCGAGGCTTGTTGTGGGGGGTTTCTTTTCCAGCTTATAACCTGTTCCCTTGCATGGTTTGTCTCAGTCGTCCAGTGATTGATCATTGATATCCATTGGTAGGCATAAATTCCCAAGCAATAGTAAGACAACTGATCAAGGGGCACGAGCCTCTTATAGCAAAAGCAATCCTTTCCAAATCAAATACCATGATTTGAGTCAAACTTGACTCCTTCCAAATTCATTCACACCTTCTCCGAGGAAAGTGCCCGTCGTTTGAGCCTGCCCAGTAACCACCTAGGTACCTACCTACCCACGCTAAAATGAGTTCCTGCCGAATAGCAAAACACGGGCAGCAATTGTCGTTTTCTGCATCCAACCAAAAAACACCATTTTGCTCAAGATCTTCACTCTTTAGGCTGCCCAATACGATGCAACAACAATAGCGCCTAGCCTCAATGGCTATGGAATGACAACTACAGATACGGCAAATAAGCGACGATAAAAGATCCTGGTAGCTCAAAGCAGTCAAGCAAGGAGCTTGTCTCTGACGTATCACATCCCACTAAGATCGACGGCCTTGCCTTGCTCCTCACTAGCTGGCTTACAGGCCCCTACAAACTCTATCGATCGTTATTTTGGCGAGATGTCAACCGTTCGAGCCATCATCGGCGGCTATGGCTGGGGCCCAAGTATTTTCCTGTCTTGTCCTGTCCTGTTGTTGTGGATAATGACATAACACGACACCAGCGACCAGGACCAGGGAAGACTGCCGCGTCGCTTGTCACATGAACTAAGGAAGAAAAGGTCTCGGCACTCATGATGCCGTTTACAAACTGCCCTGTACGAATCCGGTACTGAAGCCTTCTTCTCCCTGCGACTCTCAAGCTGAACTCTGTCTCAGAATGAAATGAAGCGGTGACGAACGAATGGCATCCTCGACCTCACCGTAAAGAGCCAGTTGACCTTTAAAAGTTACCTGCCCTCCACGGCCGGGCCGCCGGACTGACATATCAGAGCGCCACGTCCTCAACGTCCAGTTGTTAGTCTGCGATCTACTGCAGCCTGCATTACCCCGGGTGCAATACTCCGCTTAACTCGCCTGCTTGACAAAACTTCAGCTTGCCGAAATGCCCTGATTGGAACGTCGAATACTCGGTGGCGCGGGAGCTGTGTTTTGCTTCTTACAACCATCTTGTCTATTCAATATTAATATCGTCTCAGGTCTTTGAATTGAGCGAGCTGATGCTCTTGCTCTTGATTTTCGAGACTCGACATTCTACGCGCAGCACACAGGCTGGCTGACGACCTGCGAAACTCCCACTTCATCAAATTTGACACAGCCAGCAATCATGATACAATGAGTACTACAATGAAAGAAGGCGGGATCTTTATTCCACCATGGTTCGAATACCATGAGCCAAGCTGTTCAGACTGGGCGATTGTCAGCATTGTGTTTGGCATGACCCTCTGTTTGACCATCTTTGGTCTTATCCGCGTGTCTGTCCAAACATATCACCAATGGAAACGAGCCAACAGGATCACGACTTATATGGTTCTAATATGGCTTGAACTGATTGCTAGTGGGATCATTGGGGGACTGGGCTGGGGTTATGTTCGTGGAACCATTCGTCCTGGGTATGTGTGTTTGGCTACAATCTGGTGTTCGTTGACTGACATTTGCCGGATAGTTTCCTCATCTACTTCTTCATACGTATGGCTCTCGGTAGCGAATTTACCTACACCAACTGACCCCGATAGTGTTCCTCTGGGTGTTTCAAATCCATTGCATTATGCAAATTATCGTCAATCGAATCGCCCTTCTTCACGTTTCACCTACCATCGTACGGCGGCTGAAATGGGGCATCTTTGCTATTCTCGCCGTTATCAACATCTCGGTTTTTTGTATCTGGATACCTGCTCGGTTACAAATTAGCGAGACCTACATTCAAATCAATAATGTTTGGGACCGAATTGAGAAAGGCATTTTTGCAGTCATTGATCTCGCTTTGAACTTCTATTTTGTCTATCTGGTCCGGTCTTCCCTCATCTCATATGGCCTTACCAAATATGTTGTGTTATACCGCTTCAATTTAGTAATGGTGGTCATCTCCATCTCTATGGATGTAAGTACGACTTGTTAGACGGAATTTAAGTTACGCCTGACTGATTTGAATATAGATCTTAATCATTGGTTCAATGTCCTTACGAAACACCTTTCTGTATGTCCAAATCCCCAGATCATAAAATTCCTCTAACTGTTTGAAAGATATGTTGAATTTCATCCCCTTGCATATCTTGTCAAGCTCCACATCGAACTCTCCATGGCCGAACTTATCGCAAAAATCGTCAGAGCCTCCGGACCAAATCTAGCCCCTTGTCGTTGCGTCTGCCATGATGAACCAAACCATATATTCCTCCGCCAAGTCCAATCTCGACACAGTGCTCCCCCAGCGCCTAGCGTAACGGCCCCGACCACTGGGAGATTCCGTCGCTCTTGGCCGGCATTCACAAAAAGCATACGCACCGGGGAGAAGCGCCGTGGAGGAGGACGACCTCTTTCAATGACCTCAGCTCGCAAAGCTCTTTCACGTAAAAGACGAAGCACCGAAGACAACAAGCCACAACAAGAAGCCTGGAAGTCGGATACCAACGTAACGACAGACTGTGGATCACAAAACATACCCAGTTCAACAGGACAATCGAACGAAAGCTCCCGTGTACATCGCGACTGAAGAATGACGATGGCTGGCATCTAATATCCGATTCTGACCATGCTATCCAAGACATACCGTTTTAAACAGACGATATTATACTGTCATGAGGTTCAGGTCGAATCGGGGAGCCTAGAGCAAATGATCAACGGGAACGAAAAGAAGCATCTGTATTGGCTCGCTTCTGATGAATCCGATTCAGCTCTTAGCATATCAACATAAACATCCTGCTTCGGCAGACATGTCGGCCCCACCGGACACTACCGGCACATCCCAGCATCCCCACCCTCTCCACTGGCACAAACCGGTGAAGTATTGCCGGTTTTCAGAGGCATCCGTTGGAGGATATATTCGCGAGGCAGTTGTAAAAGCCACTTCGAGACTGGTGGCCACTGACGAGAATGTCACTCACACAGCCTAGTTATGGCATCTTGGGAGTTTGGACCGAATGTTAGGACATGATTGAGTCTCAAATCATCTCCCCAAGTTAAATACAGAGACGCAAGGAAGGTTAGAGTCAGTGGAGAAATGAAGCAAGAGGCTCAGAGCGGGGCAAAATAGCACCCGGGCTGCTGTGCCGAGCCATGGCACGAAAGTTTCACTTCTCGAGAGATATATTTAATCAACCGACTTTGAATCAAGTCACGACGGCTTTATCTTGCACTTATCATATCTTTTGATATCATGTTTGTAGAGACGCTAGTTATTATCCAGCCTGATCCGCTATTAGACAAATAGCAAAAGAACGCCGTTAATCCTGTGCAGAGCCATACCGAAGCCCTTTCTTCGTGTCGTCAGTGACACTATGCCGCCCATGTTTTTGTTTCCGAACCCTTAGTTCCTGTCAATATCATTTAAGCCCCCTGGTAGCGAATAGTCGTATAATGTTTCCTAAAATGCTTTGTCGTTTCGTCATGCTCCTTTTGTTCCAGATGCGTGCTCATTCCAAGTCATAAAACAGCCGTCCCCTAGGCGTCGAAACGCCATATGTCTCCGCAGCATAAACTTTCCACTTAGCTCCATCGCTGATGCTGCAACGTCGATTACATGACACCAGGAGCCGGATTCTCATGCTTAGCGGTACTTCCTTTTCCTCTCCATGTACTGACGGCAGGGATGTTGGCTTCGTAACGGACTTCCTCAGTGCCATAGGCGCCGGGCGTTAATTTGATCAGTGTGTGGAGAGGGACATTCATCCAGGGGCTCTTAGACTGGTCCTTTTTCATGAAGTATGCATAGATGCATCGAAGTACGGCCTGGTGAGTGACAATCAGAATGTCCTCGCTGCGTTCCAGTTCCATGATAATGGGCTCGAGACGGATGACAACGTCGCGATATGACTCTCCTCCACGGTAGCGGTAGTTGTACTTGTCTTCGTCACGTGCGGCAAAGTCCTCAGGGTATCGATCCTTGATCTCCTGGTAGGTCAAGCCGTCACATACACCAGAATCAAGCTCGTCAAGAGCCTTCCACTGAAGCTGGTTGTAGTGGTCAGGAAGGAAGCGAGCAGTGGCAATGGTTCGTCTCAAAGTAGAGGTCCAGACTGTTAGTGGACGGTCATCCTATGTAATGTTAGGAAAAGTCAAGTAGTATTTCGATATGAGGAACACTTACACCAACTGATTTCCGGACAAGCTCGGGGAGCTTTCTAGCATATTGCTCGCCACGAGGAGAAAGAAGAGTGTCACCACCAATTCTTCCATCGATGTTGTACAATGACTCTCCATGCTGTGAGGGTTATTAGTACATTTCCAAGCCAAAGGATCAATTGACTCACTCTTGAAAGCCAGACAGAGCGAGGGCGGATGTGGAGGTTCATAAGGTAGTAAACAATTCGACTCTGAAGATAGTCCCGAATTCGACTGATGATGACTTGCTTGCCAACATCCATGATCTTAAGGTAAGTCAGATGCGACTCCTTGCCCTCGGCGTCAATCGTGCAGTACACTTTCTCGTAGTTGCGAATACGGTTGCGGAAATCAAGAGCGGCAGTCTCAGGGTCCTGGCCGCGGTAATCTGGGCTAGTGGTCTTAACATCGCGAATATTGGCCATGATGAGCTCCTCATCATCGCATTTGCTCTCAACGAAAAGAACCTCGATGCCATTTTCGTTGCAAACCTCCAGAACCCACTTGCGACGCTCCAAAGTTGAGTTTGTAGCATCAAGTATACCAACAATACCTCCGGAGCGGAACCAGGCTAGCATGTCGGCCACGGCAGCTTCGGCGGCAGCGCGGCGGGTGCGCTCTCCTTCAGGATTATTGATATCGAAAAAGTCGGCCTTGGGCTGGGGAGCGTCATTGCGACGATAGTTGCCGACGTTGAAAGTTTGGGCTGGGATGGAGAGCCATTGAAGATATCGCTGGGCTAAAAGGTTGATCGATTAGCCATTGTAACGGCGATGGACGACAGACAGCAACCAAACTTACCTCGTTGGGCGATATAACTCTTGCCTCTGGCCGGGAGACCTACCATGACCACACAGATCCTGGTATCTTCGGCCTGAACGCCGACGCCGTTAGTTCGAGAAGGCATTGTAGCTGGGGTGTAGATTGGGCGGTGTAAGCTGAGTACGACTGCTACTGAGCAGGCCGATCAAGGTTTGAGAATGGTAAGAGCTTGGGAATGACGGGATATGTTGAAGCTCCAATACTGCAGACACATGAAATAGGGAACAAAGCAAAGCGACAGCAGCCCAATCGATGATGACTGATAGGAGATCAGATAGTAATAATCGTGTAGACCGAGGTAGAGTGCGAAGAGGAAAGAACGGCCTCGAAGACTTCCTTCCGCGGGATGGAATCCGAAGACAGTTCAGCTGAGACCAAACGAGGAAGCTACAGCAGGGAAAGTACAAAAGATGCAAATGGATGTTTCTTGTCAAGTTTAGGTCGATGACACAGCGGGTTGACACTAGAAGAATCAATCCAATATAAACGTGATTCCGCTTGTAGTGGAGAATTGGCAACGATTTAGCTCGGGTTGTGCTTGAAGCGACCAGGATGAGTAGATTTGGTCGATGGAATCTGCAGCAAAAAGCACCCGGAGCAATGGAACCAGAAGTTCGGGGAGAAGAAGCTGTTTGGGATGAAGGTGGGGGAAAGAATGAGGGGTTGTAATTTATGGATGAAGGGAACAACAGCAGAAGCTACCAAGGTAGATCTTTTGGCTACTGTACTGTAGAATAGTCTGAGAGGAGAACAGACTAGTCGAGTTGAGACGAGCCAGGAGGTTAAAAAGAATTAAAACGAGGTCAAGTGACGGAAACTCAAGGTGAGGTAAGGTAGAAAGGTAAGGGTAGGCAGGTACAGTAGCGCAAAGGCAAGGAAGGTATCCCGATCAGGTAGCTAGCTCGGGATGAAGGTTGATGGCGTAGAGTAGAGTAGAGTATATGTGGTAGAACCAGACCAACACCTGACTAACTGATTATACAGTATAGTAGGTAGATACTGACACAAGTATTTCAGTATTGTTTAGTCAAGATAACCAAGTTTGCTCCATCACAAACACCAAAGAAAAAAAAAATCATGTTGAGCATGCGGCTTCCATCGTCTTTCTCAAGGTCGCGGATCCATCATGAATGACGATGAAATGGAGTCAGACCAATGGGATTACGTCGCTGCCCCGCCAAAGCCCGCGTTGGTGATCCACTACCGCGGGCCAAAAACACCCCCGGCCGCTCGGGATAGACGCCGTGCGTGCGTGTAGAATAGCCCGGGACGGCTAACAGCCTAGGAAGCACAGCACTGTAAGGGCTCTGCTTTTAGCGATGGGATGGTGGGGGGGAGCTGCCACAAAGCTGCACCTGTTTCCCGGTGACATGCCTCCGGATCCTCCCGGTCTATTTTAGTTAGTCCCGGAGAGGGCGACCAGATAAAATCCAGTATCAGGCATTCAAGAGCCATCCATAGTCGTTGTTGAAAAGACAAGACTTCATGACCATGAAAAATCTGAATTCCAGGCAATGATTGACCCCCCCCGGGCATTTAGGCATTTCTCCCTAGACGCCGACAAGAGGCCGAAGCACTGCAACTGAGATCTCCCCGGGCCGTGAGCCTCAGACATCCATCCATATCCATATCGCTGTCAATGTCCGGGGTGAGCTGCAGGAACCGCCACAAGAATCCCGTCCACGAGACCCTTTTAATGCTCCGGGTCTGTCCGAATTGGCACCACTCGCATCTGTTTGTCTCGCTGCGATATCATGACCGGTAACTGTAACTGTTCTCGACCGATTCTTGCATCGTGACGCGTGTTGTATCTGGGGTTGCCCATCTTCTGACCCTCTCCATAGCATGATAGATGGATGCACTTTCAGGTCCCGAACCTCAAGACGTGGGGTCCCCTCTTCCCCCCAGGTTTGACTATCCTGTTCTTACACCGCTTCGACCTCACGATAATAGAACTTTGAGTGGATCGGATTCGCTCGCTTGAGCGACAAAGAGCAGCTGAGACAAAGAAACGGATAACCAATTCGTACCTTGCTAAAGATCCAGGTATACGAACGACCCCTTGTTTGTGGCGACGACGGAGGTCCAGCTGCGATGCCTTTCATGATGGGTCTGTGATCTCGCTCGTGACGTCGACCGAAAGTCAGGAATAAACAAACGGCGAGATTCTTTCGGTGAATGCGCTTTTGTCAAGTCTTGTGACTGAAGAGAGATGTATGAAGCTTGGTCGGGCATAAGACAAACAGCAACAGAGATAACGACCTGCAGGAACCCAAATCACGCGCTCCGCTGGTTATCACGATAAGCGTTTGTTCCCATATGAACCCGTTCCACCACTGTATGGCGGACCGCGTTTCACGGCACTGAACTTAACCTTTACTTACACAAGTCACCCAGTTGGTTTGAAGGAAAGCGTTATCGACGTATGAGTGAAGCCCACCGAGAAAGTAAAAATCACAAATAGCAAAGTGAATGGGAAAAGCTGTAAGCTCGAAGAACTGGTATGGTGAGGTGCGATATCCATTGGTTGGGCTCTGTACAATTCACAAGGATTCCATTGTCATCTCTCACTTTTCTGTCATCTAGCTGTTTTAAACCTTGACCACTAGTAATCGCATCTGGCTATTCTCTAGAATAGAAGCGCATTTCTGCACCACCGACATCAAAGACTGCCACGACATTCTGCAAGAAGACATCTCCCAGGATATATGGCCCAGATCCACCAGTTGAAATGGCAAGAGCACACTTTCCGTTGGACTGGTCGACAAGTTCTTGGTAGATCAGATCAGCAGGATTGATCCAGAAGTGAACTCCTGAGATAATGACCGCAAAATGAGGAGGGATGGCTTTACAGTTGACAAAGTAGGATCCCCATCGAGGCATATACGTAGCCGGAGGATCAAAAGCTTTTGCAATCGCCCCGGCCAGTGCTTCGTGTGGTTAGCAATACTACAACATATGGTGGAGTGCATGACTTACAGGGAGGGATATACATCATTGTGGTTCCGGTATCGACGACGTAAGGATATTTCCCCATATCCGTAGTACTTCCCCATTGAAGGCCATCCGGAATGATGGTGTAGAATGATGGTTTCCAGGCCGTGACATCTCGATCTATTAGTTTTGTCTGTCGACCACTTAGCACTTCCGGAGAAGAATCTGTTTGAGGTCACGCCAACTGACAATGATAAGATCCGTCGATGCGACGGACTTAGGATGCCAGTGCATGGGAGGAAGCCCACCCCAGGCCAGTACTCCATCGCTGGTGTTTCTGTCGATAGTGATACTGAAAACAGGGTCAATCAATCCTTGGGAGATAGCATTGGTTAACCAAGGGGTATAAGGGTAGTTGTTCCACTCCGACTCATCGACCGGATCGCTTGGATCACCAATATATCCGCTTGTGAGTGACGGGTATGCAAGGCCAAGAATACCGACAGTGACGTTGTTACCGTGCCAGAATGCTCTGTTGGCTAATCCGACTTGCTGCCCAGAAACCGAGACGCCTCCACAGGCGATGTCAGAAGTACCCATTGGCCCTGACACATCCTCTCCAGATCCATAGCGTCTATGGAAATAGACTTCAGAGATATCCTGGAGAAAGTCCGAGATATGAGGCTGGCCGAATTCGCAGGCAGCTTGGTCACGTTTGTTGCCTACGCTGTTCTCACACCTGAAGCCAGTCTTGGCAGCCCAAGTGTCGGAACTTCCAGTGTCGAAGATCAACCAAACAGGAGTTTGGTCCCATGTGCATTGAATGGCATAGGCAGTCGAGAAGGCGCCAACAGCAGATATATTCTGATGATGAACTGTGCCGTTTCCATCAGAGAATGCTTGCAGATCTGGCCTTGTAAGAAGAGAGAGCGAGGACCTTGGGTAAACATCAGACTTGGACTTGAGGTTTTTCAGTCGTGATGTGTAAACACCAAGGTTTTCAGCAGACTTGATAGGCTTGAATGCCAAAGCTTTGGCTCGCTCAAAGGAGAATCCATTTAGTGAAGTCGACAGGTCCCATTCATCTTGACTTCGTACAGATGCCGATAGTACAGGGCATAGGATGTTCGTGATAGTGAGAACAAAGCAGAGTGCTCTCATGGTGATAGTGCTTAGGAGGCGGAAGTAGGTGACTAGAGAGAGGTGCAGTATCGGACGTTTAGGTAAAGGATGAGATATAATAGATGCCTTTTATCTCGAGAAGTGCTGCACATGGGTACTCAGGCAAGAGAGAATGAAATATCGTTTAGGCACGCCTGCCATCGATTGTCTAACAGTGGCTTGGACATACCTTCCCTCACTTCTCTTCGTGTCCAAGCCCGAGCCTAAGAATCGCATATCGCGAGGAAGGTGCTACTCCAGGCAAACTCGCCAAGAAGTTCAGGTTTAGGTAAGTGGTCCAAACAGTTGCACAGCACAACTTTCAACCTCCATGAATTTAAGCAACCAGTACCTAGGTAGGTATCCAAGATACTACGTGATAGTATACAATGTACCCGCCCATATTGTTACCGTTGGTGGTTATTTTTCATCTTTAACATCACTGAAAGCAGGATTGAACTCTTGACCCTGAAACCCAAGAACAACCAACCATTGCTGACACTCACTTATGCACTACTATCATGCAAGCTACCGAGACGGGAAAGACACAATTCGAACTCACGGATTCTGTGTAACGTCAACGGTCATCTGTGTTAAGCCTAAAAGAACGAACCAGTATCTCGTATTATGGTCAGAGTAAACGAGAAACAAGACATTGCACTGCGTTCAAATCGCTTGACAACCGGATTCGAGATAACATGGAACTAGATGCTGTTGATTGTGTTTTGATTCCTAGGTAGATACATTGAACTAACGTTAGGTCCAGCCGGAAGAGGCTGAGCAACATAAGCCCTTTCGCCAAATAAGTTACTATTTGGCTGACACAATATGCGCCAGCTGCCAAATTTGTCGTTAACTCTCAAAAACAAACAAAGTGGCGCTTCATGGAACACCAGCTAACTCATTCTAGAGAGTTACACGATCCAAAGTCCCATCTCCACCTAACAAAACTCTCAAGACAGTTTCATGATTGGTCCCTGGGTTTATCACCTGGATATACACCATCAACTCCAGACAACTCCGCATCTCACGATGCAATAACATCCACCATTTTCCGGATCAAGAACGAAAATGCTGACCATCTACCCGCTATCTTCTCGCATTTGACGCATTTCCATAGGTCGAATAGTATAAAATGGGTCAGGGGTGCTTACGTTGTTAGCGTCTTACTGCGCCCTGGTAGGGCTGATGAGCGGCGGATGTAATATCAATATGTGATAGCACAACGCTTGGTCTTCTTAGCTGGAGCATTTCGATCAGTTAATTGGTTTAGAGGCAATTTTTGCAAGGCACAGCCTTGGGTCTTGCTGCTTGAGTTCGCCATCCAGTAAGCCAGCTCACATGTTAAGATGAGATCTTGGCGGAGTTGGGTCGTCTAGAGGGCAGAATGGGGACAGGAACACGGATAACTTGTATATAAGGAGAGGTCCCTTACGCAACTCTGAGATGACCCGTACCAGATTCCTATCATCTTTCTTTCTCACCTTTGAATATCAACTGCTTCCTTCTGATTTACGACCATGCCGATTCTTTCTACCGATACACTCGAGCCCGCAGCTGGCCATGTGATAGACACCAAGAAACCTCATCTCGTCTTTGGTGCCACTCCTGTAGATGGTCACACATACCCTCTCATCCGAATCGCCGAAGACCTCGCCCGTCGAGGTTTCGAGATCACCTTCATAGGAGGTGACCAATTCGAGCCTGCCATTACCAAGATGGGCGCTAGACATGTTAGTATCAGACCTTTGATCAACCCCAAGATAGTGGCAGAACGTGAGGCCATTCCTGCTGGTCTTCCTCGGCTACTGTGGGATATCAAGCATGTTTTTACGGGCGAGACTCCCCATCGCTGGGAAGTTCTCAAGGGAGTCCTCGAGGATATCAGAGCCGATGATGCAGAACGTGAGGTTATTGTCATGCCTGAGACATGCTTCATGGGAGCAAATCCTATTTCTCTTGGTGCACCTCTCCCCAAGGGTTATACAACCCGGCCCAAGGTGATCAATTTGCAACCTATCCCCTACATGGCTACAAGCATCGACACTGCCCCTTTCGGTCCTGGTCTCCCTCCTGATTCAACAGAATCTGGTCGGGCAAGAAACCAGTTCATGAACCAGATGATGGTTGGTGGTCCCTTTGCGGAGGTCATCGCTCATCAGGATCAAGTCCTCAAGGAGCTTGGTGCTACTGAGATCTTGGAACCTCAAATCCCTTTCCATCACTGGATGCTCATGCACGACTTGAATCTCCAGCTGTGCCCTCCTAGTCTCGAGTATGATCGGTCTGATATGCCTTCAAACGTCAAGTTTGCTGGTTGCTTGACACCCAAGCCTATTCCTGCCGACTTTGCTTATCCTGCTTGGTGGGATGATGTGAAGCGGGGAGATCGTCGCATCGTCGCCGTGACCCAAGGAACTATTGCTCGCGAAGCTTCCAACCTCATTATTCCCACCATCAACGCTCTTTCCGACCGAGACGATCTCCTCATCGTCGTCATTCTCGGCAAAAAGGGCGCTGCTCTACCTGACGACATGACCATCCCTTCCAACACTCGTGTCATTGACTATCTTCCCTACGACATTCTTCTACCTCACGCTTCCGTATTTGTCATGAACGCCGGTTACGGCGGTTTCCTTCACGGCGTATCAAACGGAGTTCCTATGGTTCTTGCAGGAGAGAGTGAAGATAAACCCGAGATTGCCGCGCGTGGAGAGTGGAGTGGTGTCGCGGTCAACCTACGAACAGGAAGGCCTACTCCCGACCTTGTAAGAGAAGGTGTTGAACGGGTTCTTTCTGAAGATAGCTTCAAGAAGAGAGTTGAAGAGATCAAGGCGGAGAATGAGGCGATGAAGATTCATGATTTTATAGAAGAGCAGATTCTTTCTATCAGAAACTTGGAGGCATAGAGTTTTGTATTTATGAGATGGAGGACTTCACTTATAGCGTAACTTGGATAGATATTTTAATGTTTCTGTTGTCTCTTTGAGAAATAAACCATCTTTCTATTGGATGTAAGAATAAATCTCCGAATGTTTCCTCCGTCCGGCTCCGGTTCCAGCGGGGCTACGGACCGTCAATTCATCCCGACGGCCCCGATGTCTCAACATTCAAGCCATACCAACCCTCGGCGTTTATTATATAAATAGTTGTTTTCTCTATGAATTAATTGGACCTTTATTCTTATAATACACACGAACCGTTATGGCGACAGTCAAGCAATCGCCCTTGGCCTTTATGGACGAGCTCGACAGCCCATCTGTTTTATACTATCGTCCAGATAATACAGCATCAACCTCTACCACCGACACCCGCGATCCTCCTCTCATAATCTTTCTATCATGGTCGGGTGCTCGTGATATTCATATTGCCAAGTACATTTCCCAGTACCGCTCCATGTATCCAACATCTGCTATCTTGCTCTTCCGATCTTCTCCCATGCTATTTATGCAACCCAAACTCCGTCGCAATCTCTTCAAATCTGCTCTACCTATTCTTCAATCGATCCCTAATCCGAAAGATAACGATCCTCAATTTCTTCTCCATATCTTCTCCAACGGCGGTGTCAGCTCTGCCGTTACATTGTTCGAGCTGTGGGAGTCTGCACTTGGAAACGAGCTAGTCCCTCGGCACGCAGTTGTGATGGACTCATGCCCTGGTTATTTCCACTGGAGACGCGATCACCATGTGGTTTCTATGGACTTCCCCTGGTTTATGTCGCCTCTTGTCTGGGTGGTGCTTGGCTTTGGCTGGCTCTACTGCGTTCTATACCTGGGCTCTATGCCACATAATACTAATGCTTTGGCGCTCAACCACTCAAAGAGAACGAGTCGCGAAACGGCGAGGGCGTATTTGTATGGTGATGCGGATAAGTCGGTTGGATTTGAAGATATCGAGTCTCATGCGTTAGATGCAAAGAAGAATGGAGCCATTGTGAGAACGGAAATGTTCAAGGGAGGCGCTCACGTTGCTCATGTTAGAATTGATGCCGATAGATACTGGAAGGCTGTTCGAGAGACTTGGGAGGAGAAATGTATATAGAGTAGCTAACGTTAGCTCTATGTGTAGTAGAAGTTTCCTGATAGATTTCCAGATGGATAAAGTAGATACATATGTTACACTTGTTTATACCGCTTCATCGTAACAAGTCTCCTTCGTCCGTGAATTATCGCCTTTATCCATTAGATCGTTTCCACCGCAATGATAATATAACGCAATCCGCTTGTAGTTCTTCAGATGTTGTTATTAGTGTACAAAATTGGAAAGTAACGCCGTTGTAGATAATGCAGACTCAAGTCCTCTGTCTCTTATAACCGTTTCCCGAACTTGAACTTGCGCCTTGTTGATCCTCTGTCGAGCTTCTTTTACCAAGACTGCTCTGCGTATGAGATGTCTGCTGGAATAGTATTGTATAGTTGTCGTTTATTCCAACGCCCTCATCCTCCTCATGACATATGGAACACTCTTGGTTGAAACTGTGCTCTTCGACGAGGATACCCCCCTCACATCCACCAAACCAACCCAGGTTTTTGGCGTCGAGACAGTTCAACTCTTGGGTCAAGTCAACCCATGTTTGGGCTGAGCCGCAGCAAATGCAGTATCCTCGGAATATTATCATTCGACACATTATGTTGTTGAGGCGGCTGATATATAGACGATCGTCAGAAATGAAGCTTTTGGAACTAGAGGTTGATGGTCAGTAAAGTGCAAGAGACTGAGTGAGTCAGGACTGACAATATTATTCTCTATTCTTGTAGTAGAAACCCTCCCGATGTCTCAGTTGGATAAAATGCCGAATGCCGAATCGATGTAATGTCTTCATCAAGCGACACTCTGTAACGTCGGAAACGAGACAATCCAAGCAAGCCACAATGCAACGTCCGAGCGTAATGCAGATGACGATGACGATCAAAGGAGGGGAATTTGCAAGAAAGAACCAAGTTGTGATGAGGTTTTTGCAAAATCAAGTGCCCTTTTGTTTCTGTATTGACTCGTTGGTTGGATCGGATCGGATTGGTTGGTGAGATGCAAGTAGAATGAGACACAGCTTATGAGGTGCTGAAGTAGAAGATCTATTGCCGCTGATAGAGTATTAAAGAGATGATGATAAAACAAAAAGTCGAAAAGTCGAAGAAGAGATGGGATGTTTATACAAGTTGAGCAGACAAGGTAAGATGAGTGATGCGGCATACACCGTGAGTGAGCATTGATCATAATCAACCCAAGGCAAGGTAAGGCAAAGCAACGGCCAACTTTAATCACTCCTCTCAAACGTCACAAATAAACTACCGATAAATTACAGTCCAGTAAAGAATTAGGAATTATGAGAAAAAGCAACAAGGACATGCCATATCATATCCCTAAAACGGACGTGCATTCTTCTTGGCGCCTTGTAGTTTGACTACAGCCATCCATATCTTTACAGTAAGGTAAAGGTAGTCTAGCTTGGTGCTTTGACTGCCGATACACATCATTTCTGCAGTACATTCAGTAACAGTACCGTACCCCTTGGCTTTCGCTCGCGGCATTAAACTTTACACGCAACAAGCTTTCGCCACTGATCCTCAACTAAATAGGCTAGAAGATCTTGAAGCCGTTCAGCTGCACTGCCACAGCCACTCTCAAGACGATCCTCGAGTTCTAGACCTTCAGTTTCATGGAAGAGGAATTCTTCTCTCTATGTTCTAGACTTTGTTCTAGAAGACCACGGAGCTTCCGTCTTCCTTTCTTTTTCTTCTGCCACCGACTTCATGCAAGAAAACGCAGATAATTAAATTCTTTATTTGTAATTCGCAGAAAGAAATAATTATCCATCGTCGGAGAGATCCATCTAAACCAGGGGCAACATGAGGCTTGGCTTGGCTGTCTAGTTCAAGTTACTCTATCCCAGCGCCGCGTTCCCGGAAGACTGACGCCTCTGAACCAAAGAGAATTGCCCAACATAGACAACGATCATCCGCGACTGGCGATCCTTCTTGTTCAGTCGTGACAGGCTCCCTTGCCAAGCGTCGAGTTTCTACCATCTCCTCGGGTCTTCGTTGCGAAGACGTTTTGTTTCATGGCAATAGCCTTTCGCGCCTCGCCCTTTCCCCCCAGACTCGGTAGGGAGTTTCATCGTAGAGATGGGATTCCTGTGATGCCTCTTAGCCTAGTTAGCATCAAGGCTAACTTTCTAAGCTTATCCTCGATACCTATCAAATTTCACAGCTCTTACGGTGTGCTTCCGCAATTGCATTCCTGATACACTGCTCTAATGACACAGCCAAGCATTGGAAGCGGAGGACAAGTCTTTCAAAGTGATAAATATTCCGCACTGCCTATTATGGCATCTCCATCCACCTCTAGTCCAATAAGCTAGAGCACAGCCTAACAAGCGGTTCCTGGCATGATAAGCTACTGTACTACTCCTGCAAGCTAACATCAGCCAAGTCAAGTCAGGTCAAGTCATCTCAGCCCAGGATACGAACTACAGTAGCTCAAAGTCCGAAACTCGTTAAATCCGACATCACTGGAATTCTTGAGACAACCACCGGGATCTTGATGAAGCCCGCTCGTTAGCCGTGCCACTACGCACTACCCGTCTCAGGGCGTCATCTCAGGCACGAAACGAATGTTCTACGGGCGTAGTCGAAGCTTCTGTCATACTCCTCTCATTTGCTTTTCGGCTTCTTAACTGAGTATCAGCCAGTTTCATCCAAGATTTAGTAACGCCGCGCCTTGAACTCTCATGTATGTAAGCAATGCAGAGTCACAGTACACCCTACCAAGGACCTACGTAGTAAGTAACTTACAAAACAGACGTCTAAGGTCTAGCGGTCGATCTTCATGGGCTCCTTCAGACTTTCCCGGTGAGTATGCTCCTTCTGGGAGGTCACAGTAGCATCAAGGTGAGGTATTGACATCGAGGCAGTGAGTGTTTGGAGCTTATGCCAAGTGCTTAAGAAAGCCTACCCCTGACTTCTGAGAGCATCGAATACAATTTCGGAACTCATCAATTAAGTAAGTTCAGGTTGTACTCCCATAGTAACTATCCTGCATATCTTAACCACATAGGTCAGCTTCTCTCATTCTTTGAGTGACATTGAGGTATCAGATGAATTGGCCGCCAAAAGCATAAGAGACCAAACAACTTGACCATCTAATACGAGCATAGGCTAACAGTTGGTCTACTTTGTTTCTGTATCCCAAACCTTGGAGGACAAATCCTCTGCTATCCAGTATAGGTGTAGAAGACGCTTGTACGAAGGAAAGCAAGTCAAAGCATACACTACTTATCTCAACACCAGCAAGGTTCTTTTTACAATCGTTCAATACTCGAAACAACAATACCAGTACGCTTTATTCAGTATAGTAGTTCTTTTCTAGACGCTAATATCACCACCGTATCATGACTGATATCATGGCTATAACGAACGTTTGAGCCATATGCAGACGCCTTCAATGTGCGTCATGGTACTCTGGTATCTGCCATTCAAATCCCCCATACAAGTCAGGGTGGGAGCCTTCGAGTTAGTACCGTAGAAACAGGCCGATGGGCATGGTGTTGTGCTCCCTTCGTGCAGAGTTCATCCGGTTTGTTGCAGCCTCCGTTAGTGGCATCTCAAGACGAGAATTGATGCGGATAACAGAACCTCCGCCATTGTTGGTTTTTTCCGCCGCTTTCCTTACTTGGCGAGAGCGGTATCTTTTGTACCGCTCCTTTACTTTAGATTCCTATTCTCTCAGGTAGCTTGGATCGTTTGTTGCCAGCGCCCAGGAGCTGTTGAATTTGCAGTCGTAACAAATAGTTTCCGAGAGGAAATCGCCGCGACGCAAACGATGGGGACAGTATGAGACAAGTTTCAAAACGGTGAAGCAGCCATAGCAGTAGAGGCGTTGGAAGCGAATGGGTTGGCAGCAACGGCGTTCGGAGCGAGGGGGGATGGCGCGTTCAGTTGTGTTGCCAGTGAGATTTTCCAAAGAAATGATGCTCGGATAGTGTAGAATTTGGAGTCTTCCCCTGTTCGAACGATTGATCGTAGCGTCAATAAGATTTGAAATCTGATTTACGTCCATGATTGTGTGTAATAAGATGAGCTTGGATGGATGGATGTTGATGGTAAGTCGAGGAGCGTCTGCAAGTGAAAGATGTGCTTGCTCCTTTATCAGCCAACTGTAGATGTAACTGCCCAGGTAGGCAGGCAGGCAGGTCAAGGAGATCTGCCTGCCGCACCATTTACCTGCCTAAGCGTCGGTCTGAACTACCTTGAGCAGCATAAGAGGACTGTATCATTTCTCATGCCCTGGCGACAGTGCGTCAGCAAACCTGTCTGTCAAGAATCTATGAAATGAATCATATTAGCTACTTCACGGTATTCCAGGCTAGCCTTGAGATTAACATCTCTGTACTACTTACTCAGCAACAACCTACCTGCCTTAGTAGAGTAGAGGTCCAGGTCTTCATTCTGGCAATGCGTGGCCATTGTTCTTTCCTTATTACGGAGGTCTCTCCGTTGACTCCAGTGGCCTACAAACTCCAAACCAGTACTATGCTGTCTCTCATCGCCAACCGTTATACTTTAGTACTTTAGCGCTCTATACAGTATCTCATCATTGATAAACGTCATTCATTCTTCTATAGTGCTTCAATAATGTCTCCCTCGCTTTATACTTGGATATCTATACAGCAGTCCATGATGCCAGGGTCCGGTATAGAAACATGGTATCAAGGTAGCAGCAGCATCGTGACTTGCAATCCACCTTACATTCCGAGCACATACATATTGTGATCTCAATGAATAGTATGCGCAGGATGAAAGTGACCTGTTGAACTCTTAGCAACCAGACTCCTGGCGCTCCGCGAATAGTAAAGGACCTACTTTACTGGAGATGTATGTAGTAAATGACTAGTCAATCCCGCCTGAGATAGTGAGGTGTCTTATTCTGGAGTACTTCAGTTGTGGGAAAGGGGTATCCTGAAGCACCCGAGAGCACAGGTTCAGGCCATGAGCCTGCCAGGGTATCAGAAAGGTTGGCTGCCGAGAGCCTAAGAGATACAATGATTCGGTCCTAACACTTGGACTGCCTATTGACGCTCTAACTGAGAGGACAACTTTTACGCTGCCCAGTAAGAGTCTCATGGTGGTCCTCGACAAAATGACTACATACGTTACTTCTCTATAAGCATGTTGTTTATATTTCACATCAGTTCAAAGAGGACATTAACGAAGAGAAATCCGTGGAATTTCATGGCGATATAAGACTAATTACGTTACGGTGGTAATACAATGCAACCAAATCCCCAACGCCATTTCCCCAGTCTCTTATTCCGAAAATACATTCCTTTCCTCATGGCATGCATGCAATGATGAGAAACGGTCCGGGGTTGAAATCAGACCTTGAAAGAGTTTGTAAACGAAGGCGTAACTTGCAGATGATCAATAGGCCCCATGTGCACAACACGTAACACACATGCAGAAACGACGGAACCACTTGCACGACACGATCGATTTCATCCAACAACGCACAGATCTGGCTGGAAATGAGTTTAAGTACGACCGAAACCAGGTTGCAAGACACTGTTGTTTGGCTCGGATTGGGATGCAATTCAAAACCTTGGGTGACCAATTCACAACTCAGCTCAACCGTATCTTGGCAGGTCGCAGAGTTCGAGATGAGCGTCAGACCAATGGATGAATAGGCATCAAAGATCGCACATGTCATCACTGCGTTAGTCGTGAGCTGTCAATCCAGAGTCATCATGATTGCGAGAGATTCGACAAGTACGCGATCTGCAAACGGTGTTCGTAGAAGTATTCAGCATCGAGTCGAGGTAGCGGCTAGATGAGTTTGGGTGACGGCAAAGCAGTATGGTCATGGACGTTACACTTGCTATGCATGCCAGTATTAAGGTCGTCAAAAATAGTCGAGTCAAATGATATGTCATCAAAGAAGTTGAGTCCAAGTAGTTCTCGAGAAACGGAAAGGTATGTTGTACAATCGGGGGTCGTGTCAACGGGCCATAGGGGCAGCAGGAGCGTCAAGAGTGTCAGAAGCATCGGCATGATGTCAATCGAATCAACAGATAGTGCCCTCGCTTCGCGGCATTTGCGAAGGAGAACTCGATCAAGATCACCCAAGCACGAGCGAGCAGACAAGACATCACTATGCCCCAGGTGCAGGAGCACCGGCAGGAGGGGCACCCTGTCCACCTTGCTGCTGTTGGAACATCAAAGACTGATACCACAGTGCAAGATAATTTTGGTAGCCACCATCTGTCTCCGTCAGTATTGTGCAAAGCTACAGGCATTTTGATAAAAACTTACATTGGGCATATGGATCTGATCCGTCACCTGAAGCTGGTTGAGGGGGCTGGTTAGTAGGTGTGCTGGGCGCTTGCTGTTGAGAGTAGCTGGGTCTGTCAAGATCTTGGTGTCCACGACCACCACCGCCGCCACGTGGGCCGCTTCCCTTCTGTCGCTATAATCATGTCAGACTTTGCATACTGGAGGTCATGATCGGATGAAACTTACTACTGCATCCACCTTTTCGTCGATGGCCTGCTTGGCGCGAGCGATGCTATCGCGAGAGCCGATTAAGGCAATTTCCCTCTGGGTCTCACCAGGCCCAGAAGATTGGGCGACATTAATCTTACAACCAGTGGTGTTCTGCATCTCACGGATCGTCTCACCACCTTTGCCAATGATCATACCTACTGCATCCGAAGGCACATAAACAGCATCATTGATCTTATCAGGGCCGCCGGAACCACCCACGTCCCTTTGCTGAGAGCCCTCATGGCGGCCACCGGGAGCTGGTCCACCACCACCACCAAGTTTCTTGACAGGTGGAGGCGCATCGCCCCGACTGTCACTGTCAACGATTTCCATAATGAAATCCTTGGCACGAGCAGCAGCTTCGCGCGTACCAATAAGATTGACGGGTCGTAATCCATTCACGCTTTTGGATTCACCAACAATATTGATATGACAACCGGAGCGTTCTTGGAGATCACGAATAGTTTCACCACCACGTCCAATGATCAAACCAACTGTCCTATCGGGGACCATGATCTGCATGTGGTCTTCTCCTTCACGTAGAGCGGTCGCGCCACCCTTGTTTGGATCACGGGGCTTCTCGGGGCGATTAAGGGCACCCATGCCGCTGTCCTCTATGATGCGATTGATCGCATCCTTTACTTCACCACGGCGATGTCTTGGCCCAGAGATTTTGCACTGTCTATAAGGACCCGGACCACCATCAGTTGGGGCCAAAAATTGGACACGACAGTTAGAGTCTGCTTCTATGCGTCGCAGGTTCTCGCCTTGTCTGCCAATAATAAGGCCTACCAGGCTTGACTCAATCTGAATAGTTTCAGAGTTGTCATCTCCCCCTCTCAACGGAGATCTCTCACGTCCATTTCCTCCTCGAGGAGAGAAATTGCGGCCACGAGGGCCAGGCGAATAAGAACGATCCCGATCATAGCTTCGACCGTGCGAGCCGCGGTCGCCACCACGTCGCTCATCTCTGTAGGGGTTCACGCCATCACGAAACTCGTCGCGAGCAGGCGATCGCGATCGTGAGCGGTTATATCCTCGATCGGGCCCTCGGTTTTCGGAAGCATAAACCAAGGGACGGTCGTAGGATGTGACTCCCTTCTCAGCGGCGTAAGCCTTGGCTTGAGCGATCGCATCGGTAATACTGAGTGTTCCTGAATTAATAGGCCTAATCGAGCTCAGGTCGAGGTTTCCACTGGATGAAGGTGCAGGAAGACCATTGTAGGCGGGTGCACCGTAGCTGCCGGAGTTCAGAGGCGGCGGCTGGTATGCGGCCGCTGACTGCGTAGACGCGGGCGGGGGAGGGTATGCCTGGTTGGGGGCGCCAGGTGGTGTCTGGGTAGGTGTTCCTGTCGGTGGCCTCTGAGATGCTACGAACCAGTCAGTAAGCGCAAAAGACCTGGATCAAGTTAGTCGATCCAACTTACCGAGCGCAGCCAGAATGCTCTGGATATCAGGTCGGGAATCAGTCATTGTGCTGTTGGTGGATCTAGACAAGAACCAGCACGAAAGAAGAAGCTAATTTGTGCCGTAGGGTTATGCCGGCAAGTGATTGATGGACTCGACGATTTGGCAAAAATCCAAAATCCAAATCAAGTAACGGATTCAAATTATTATGAAGGCGGCCGACGAGATAAATGTGTCTCCAAAGTATGTATCGCAACGACTGTACCAATTTGCCGGTTACGTTTTGGGGTCAAGATGGAAACCAAGACTTTTTGCGATGAGAAGCAATAGTAGAGATAACGAAGGAAAGGATATTGACAGATCGCCAATAAATGTCTCGGGTCGCGTAAGAAGGCTGATGCGATCGCGACGACGATAATATGTAGCGTCTCTGGCCACAAAAGGGGTGATGTCTCGAAAGCGCAGATGAGATGGAAGAGGGAGGATTCTGATTTGGAAGAATCAGTGGAGGTTCATGGAAATGGAAGACGACCCAGGCGCGAAAGTGCAGCAGTACGTACCTACAGTACCTGCAGTGCAGCGTGACTTGCAGCTAAACCATATTTGGAACTTGGGTGACAATTCTCCACCACTTTAAAGAAAACCCTGAGCGGATATTGAGCATGCGTACACCAAGTGCAATTTTTTATGCTATGTAGAATTATTGTCCTCTGTGTCACCTGGTTTTCACGCAGTATTTTTCGATATTGTCATTCTCATTTGCCGTACCCGGCCTGAAATCGAGTCTTGTGTGAACCTAAAGGCGACTCAGGGTTAACTCATATCTAGCAATTAAGTTAAGCCATGCTCTACGTTGGGAGCATCAGCCTGTCACCAGAGCGACAATGACTGAACCCAGTTTGTGAATCCTACAGTAATCCTACTCTGTGCCTCTGATCTGTCTCGATCAATTCAGTTCACACTGCTACCCATCCATAAGTTCTCTAGACAAAGCGACACAGACGTACATGAGACTAGTCCTTTAACAGCAAGGTTATAACAACATTTGCCGCTGCTCCACTGCGGGGAGTTTCTGCAAATTCGACAGCTGGGTCGGATCTCGGAAGAACGAGAGGCCGTTATCGTCCAAGACTTTTTCTTATCGCTGAAAAAAAGTTCTCGGTTCGAGACGCTGCTAAGACGATCGGTTATACAGAATACCTACCTCAAGCGCAACCAAACATGGATTTCGCCGGCAACAAGAAGCGCAAGTTCAAGGACGCCAATGGCGTCAAGTCTTCAAAAGAAAAGAAGTCTTCTTCTATTCCTGAGAAGAAGTCAAAGAAAGTCAAGCGCGCCGAACCCGAGCCCGAAGACGATGCTTCCAGCGAGGAAGAGGAGGCTCTGAAGGAGCTCGAGGACGAGAGCGACGAAGCCGATGAGGATGCCGAAGTCTCAAAGTCGGGAGATGAGGAAGAGGAGGACAAGGACGATGCCGAGGACAACACAGATCTGCCTGATGGCGGAAAGCTCACATTACCCCCGGTTGCTGGCGCTGAGGCGCAATCTTTCGAAGAGTTGAACCTTTCCGAGAAGACTATGAAGGCCATCAAGGAGATGAAGTTCACCAAGATGACAGAGATCCAAAGAAGGGGTATTCCTCCTTCTCTGGCTGGTCGCGATGTTCTTGGTGCCGCAAAGACAGGTTCTGGAAAGACTCTGGCCTTTTTAATTCCTGTTATCGAGATGCTGAGTGCTCTGCGCTTCAAGCCTCGTAACGGTACTGGCGTCATTGTCGTCTCGCCCACTCGCGAACTGGCCCTTCAGATCTTTGGTGTTGCCCGTGAGCTCATGGCCCACCACTCTCAAACCTACGGCATCGTTATTGGAGGCGCAAACCGTCGCGCTGAGGCCGACAAGCTTGCCAAGGGTGTTAACTTGCTTATCGCTACTCCTGGTCGCCTCCTCGATCACCTCCAAAACACACCTTTCGTCTTCAAGAATCTCAAGTCTCTCGTCATTGATGAGGCTGATCGAATTCTCGAGATTGGTTTCGAGGATGAAATGCGACAGATCATCAAGGTCCTCCCCAAAGAGGACCGACAGACCATGCTCTTCTCTGCCACTCAAACGACCAAGGTCGAGGATCTTGCTCGTATCTCGCTGCGACCCGGTCCCTTGTACATCAACGTTGATGAGGAGAAGCAGTACAGTACCGTGGAGGGTCTCGAGCAAGGTTATGTTGTCTGCGAGGCCGACAAGCGGTTCCTTCTCCTCTTCTCGTTCCTCAAGCGCAACCTCAAGAAGAAGGTCATTGTCTTCTTCAGTAGCTGTGCTTGTGTGAAGTACCACGCCGAGCTCCTTAACTATATCGACCTTCCTGTCCTTGATCTCCATGGCAAGCAGAAGCAGCAGAAGCGAACCAACACCTTCTTCGAGTTTTGTAATGCCAAGCAGGGTACCTTGATCTGCACTGACGTTGCCGCTCGTGGTCTTGATGTACGTACTCCACTTCATTCCTCACACGAACTTCCTACTAACCTGTGACAGATTCCTTCTGTTGACTGGATTGTCCAGTTTGACCCCCCGGATGACCCCCGCGACTACATTCACCGTGTCGGTCGAACCGCCCGAGGCAACAACACCAAGGGTCGATCCCTCATGTTCCTTCAGCCTAATGAGGTTGGCTTCTTGTCGCATCTCAAGGCCGCTCGAGTCCCCGTTGTGGAGTTCGACTTCCCTGCCAACAAGATCGTCAACGTTCAGTCTCAGCTCGAGAAGCTCATCAGCCAGAACTACTACCTGAACAAGAGCGCTAAGGACGGTTACCGCAGCTACCTGCACGCCTACGCTTCGCACTCGCTGCGCAGTGTCTTTGACATTAACAAGTTGGATCTTGCTAAGGTTGCTAAGAGCTTCGGTTTCTCGGTGCCGCCTCGTGTTGAGATCACTCTCGGCGCCAGTATGAGCAGAGACAAGAAGCAGCAGGGTCGCAGGGCATACGGTAGCCAGCCACGACAAGGTCATGGTAGCAATTTCACCAGGTAAAGCCTGAGCACCTAATGGGAAAGGAAAAATGTGGTGGTCAGTCAAATTGGCTGTCGGTGTATCTGGGAGGCTTTAAGCACGGCGTTAGGTTTTGCAAAATGTAATGATGGTACCCAGCTACGGCAGGATCATAGACAGACCTTTTCGTTTCAATTGCCTTGTTTAAGTGAAGATGTGTAGTTGCGTACAAATATTTGCTGCATATCATGTTCTATTGCGGATGAGCCACGTCTCATTCCAATGTGCGTGCATTGAGTTCAAATTAGAATCAAGCTTGTTGCTAGCCCTTCCTTTGTATTTCCTTTTTTTTTTTTTTTTT